AGGGGCCAGATTTATCACCAATTTTGAAAATTGGAATTTCTTTGGCAAGCTTTAATTCAGAAATGGATAGGTTCCAAATTCAATTGATTTACTGATGAGCATAGATAGAGGTTGGCTAATAATATGCTAAATTTAGCCGATCTTAAAATGCGAGTGGGAAATGAATACAGCCCGGAATAAATTTCAGATAGAGATACAGGGTTAAAAAAGAATGAACTAGCAAAGACTAACTTTGGTAGATACTCATGATCACTAAATTGATTGGTGAATTTGGCATTTTGGAGGCCAGGTTATGCCCTATAGAAGAAAAGTATTTATTTATTATGTCGGGAAACTCAGAGGGATTTTGTGACACTAGATTGCTTCTTGATCATTTAAAAGAGATTATATCTTTGTGAGCTTTGTTTTTTCCGGCCTAAAAGGCTGTTGATGCCCTCCCATTTTTTGGATATTGGTAAAGTTTTCATCAAAATATTTTTGAAAATACATGATCTTTTTGCTAATTCTTGTGAGCGTTAACACTTTGTTCCAATAGAGTTTGTAGGTGGCGGTGACGCCTGAACAAGAAAGATCATTTTCATTTTAATTGATTTCCTGATCCCCTTTGTTACCCAGGGTTTTAATAATCTCTTTTTCTTACGTTTCGATATAGTTGGCTTAATGAAAAGGTGCATGCTTATTGAGAGGTTTGTTCAGTTTATTGTAAAACACAGAAAGAGATTTGTTTACGTCATTCAGTCCTGAGACTACTCCAATCGGGTCAAGTTGGGACAGTTCGTTTAAGAATTTTGCCTTTGAATAATTGGAGAAGTCACGAAGTAGAATTTTTTTTACTGTGGAGATCAAAGAGGTCATTAGAAGAGTTTAGAATACAGAATTGAGAAAAGTGATCAGTTAGATCTGAGATTATATTTCCGCTTGTTATGGTATCTTCTAGATTGCTAGCAAAGAGGTTGTCAATAAGTGAATATGAGTTATGATGTACTCTCGTTGGTTTGTCAATTATTGGGGTTAAGTTGAAGCTGTGCAAGGATATTAAGATACATTTTTGGGCGTATTTGCAATTATGAAAGCGAAGGAGTTTAATTTTAAAATCACCCATCAAAAAGATCTGCTTGCCAGAGGCGCTGGGGTTTTCAAAATAAATTTTTTCAAATTATTCCTGAAAAAGCTCTGGGGAATTATGCTGCCTATAAACAACTTCGCATATTATATTTGCCATTTGGGTAGGTGTAACTTGGCCCAAAAGGCCTGAAAAGCCTCATTTAGAGCATTTTTCGATAATTGTGTATTTAAGATTCTCATCAATATACACGCCAACACCGCTCGCTTTCCGAATTTAAAAGCATTTGTCCCCTTTTGCCCTCTGCTGGATCCCTGTAATGCAACAGTTTGTATGTGTGAATATTTTAAACTTACGGATTAATTATTCTTCAAAACTCCCACCAACATACATTGTAAAACTAACTGAACTGTGTACATTTTTATGTAATTAATTATTCTCTGAGACTATGTAACTTTTGCGAACACCATATTTTTTCTATTTATTTTAGTAAGTGTGGGGCTAGCGTGGTTAAAGAAATTTGTTGATTGATTGATTGATTGAATATCTTGAGGAGTGAAAACAACATCAAGATCTTTTCTGGAGTTGACGGCAAAGTTAGTCAATCTGAACAAGTCCGTATCATTTTTTATCTTGAAAGTTTATCCTATCTATTTCATGGGTTAAGTAAAATTGACAGAGGTAATATACCATTCATTCTGTTACTTCACCTGGTCCTGGGAAGATCAATTAGCTTATATGCCTTAACGTGAAAACCAATTATTATAGAAATGTCTGAGTTCAAAGTTTCCCTTACTTTTGACACCAACAAAAAAAACAGTTACTAACTTTAGGTACTGGTCAGATTTTCACCCAATGATAATCGCTTTTAATTAGCAACTGAATTTGTTTAGAGACAACGCCTAATGAAATATAAGGGCTGGCACGTGCACTCTCATTAACAGTCACGAAACTTCGAAAACAAAAAGATTAGCGCATCAGAGGCGCTATTTAATCAATTATCCTCGAGTCAAAACATAACAACACACATTCCATTTGCACGAAACACGTCGTTGTATTTTATGAACCTTTTTTTACTGTTTTTCTGTTAGTTCACGTTAAGAATATAATAATTTTCACATTCTTTTACTTGTCCTTACTTCCGATCTTTTAATATATATATATGTAACGGCCGCTTTTCAAATTCATACTCCATAGTGGCAAGAAGCAGTCCTCGATACTTTGTATTTTGAGTTTTAATCTTTCTTCCTTTGCTCATAAGTGTTTGAAAAAAGTTACCTTCTCATTTTAACAGGGAAGGCAACATCTCTCTGATCTGAATTTTAATTTCTGGATCTGCCCTCACGAGCACGATATCTAATATTGCGTCAACTAGATTGACTACAATGTAGTTGCATTTATAATCAGGAGTTGTTAGAATGCAGTCGCACATTTTCAGGATTTTCGGAGTAAGAAAAACTTGGTAAAGTAAGGATTAAAAAATGGGAACATTCGCGGTAATAGAGGTGGCGGAAAGTGATTAAGTTGGGATTGCGGGGCGGCACACTCACCAACAATCACGAAATTTCGAAAACAAAAAGATCAGTGCCTCAGAGGCGCTATTTAATCCGAATTGGCCTGAATCGTGTATAACTCAACTCGCAAAGTTCAGTTGCATTTGCACGAAACCACCAGTTTTATTTCACGAACATTTTCAGCACTGTTTCATTGTTTCTTCACGTTATGGTTGATAATTTTCGCATTCTTTTACTTGCTCTTCAATATAGGAAGCAGTCCTCGATACCTTTTTTCAGTCAGACAGAAACGTGTATTCCTTAATTGGAATGTATTTCATTACAGAAATAAGAGCACAAACACTTCCAAACACTTTGATTTTTATCTTCAAAATATGAATACAACTCCTTTCTATTATTCTGAAAGCATTTATCAAAGCTACTTTCCCTCTAGCTATTTCAGGAAATTCTCTTTGTTCTAAGTTTCCTGAAAAGATAAAAGAAAAAGAAAAGAAAATTTTTATGAGGGGTGTCAATGCGGTGTTCATTCATGCCGATTAACATAGCGTGCAGTTTTAACTTTTAGCTCCCACAAAAGTGCTTTATTTATACTTTTGTATCTTACTTATTCACGATGCTAAAAACTGTCCGAGCGCAAACTCCCTCCCACTCTTGTTACTACAACAGGTACTGAAACAGTTAACCCTTTAAGTGCCAATAGTGACTAACATCAATTTTCTCCTAACGATATCCATACAATGTCAAGAGATTAGGTTATGAGAATTAATAAAATGATTACCAAAGGGAAAATTCCTTAATCTTTTATCAAATTCTCTCAACTCGTTCTTTAAGGAAACTTATGGAGACCAGTTTGGAGAATTTGTGTGTGGATATTGGGACTTAAAGGGTTAACAGTCACTGGTAACTGCATTGCGTGTAGTTTTAACTTTTAAGGTAGTTCCCACAAAAGTGGCTGTCAGCGGCGGCTTTGTTTGTGCTTTAATTTGTATCTTGCTTATTTACGATGCTAAAACTGTCCGAGCGCAAAGTCCCTCCCACTCTGGTATGACTATAATAAGCAGAAACAGTTAAGTTAATACTCATTCTGTTGGTTCGCTTGGTTTTGGGAAGATCTCTAAGTCGATTTAGCATCCTGCTTTAAAGTGGTAAGTAACCTGCACCATTTCCTCCTTATCGCCCAAAGAGGAATGATAAAATTCACATGTAACTCCTCGCACCAACGTATCTGCTTTATTTCTAGCTCTACGATAGTTGGGAAAGGTCCCTTAACACAGAACTACAACCGGTTACATTACAAGTAGTTAAGTGTTAGTGAGACGAAATTGGCAGTTGACATGCATACGTACACTTTTTAGGACGCAATTGCGTGTCGTGTCTGAAGTTTATTGATGATAGTTTTATATGTAATGAAGGATCCGCACCCTGGAGCACAATATCTGACATGTCTGACAGTTCCAAACTTCTTTTGGAAGACTGAACTAGATATCGTGGGATAGATAGGTTTTTTACTACGACAGATAAATATGAAGAGTTCTGAATGTCTTTGACGTTTTTCTTTTTTGGTTGACAATAGTTCTCCCGAGTCAACGTTGCTCACAATTCAGCCGTAATTGTCTGTCCGTTTTTACTATGTTTTTACTGTCAGTGTTTTCTATCGTGCATGCACTATAAGTACAAGAATACTAGTTATATGACAATAGCCAATTTTTCATCGCTTTAGTTTGGCACACATTAAAATAACCGAATAATTTAGACACATGTCAAATCGATCCAACAATAGTACTGAGTTTTTGGCTTGTACTTTTAGTTATTGCGACAAAACCCCTTCTTTCGATCACGCACGCGAGATTTATTGGGGCGTAGTGGTTTCCTTAAAGTCATGAAGAGCTGCTTGTCTGAACGAGTTAAATGCGTGGAAGATCCATTGGATAGGGGCAAAAACCAAAACCCAAAAAAACCCTTAGGGCTTCCAACAAAACCCCCAAAAACCCCTGGACCAAAAATTAACCCCCAAAAAATCCCATGTCGAATGTCCAAGCCTTAAAAATTTCCGGAAGGAATTAAATGATATAACAAGGAAAATAGGAACATCAGAAATTGAATGTTTGTGTTTGTTTATTAAGTTATCATACGCGGCCACTACCACCAATCTTTAGATTGTTTTATACCCAGAAAATCCTATACTTAACAATCAAGCCACCCCAAAAACATACTTGTCAAGTTTTCCTGCCCAAAATATCCCAGAATCGAAAATTTCAATCCCCAAAAAATCCTTCGATTATCCCCGTCACTTGAAATCCGGGGTACTTACAGTTTTACATGGGAAAACCGGAAATTCGGTTAGAAAATTAAATAGTTTCCGCCATCTTGGATTGCGTGCCGCACCAAAGCGAGGCTGGACGGGCACCCGCTAACAAGTCAACATGGCGGAAGGATTGTTGTCTGCTGCGTGGTCGAAATCTCTCAAAGGTATTCCGTATTTTGACTCATCTTTCATCGAGAAATGGCTTGAGAAGGACGGTAAAGTCCCCAAAAAAGTAATAACTCGTGGTTATAGTAATTTCTGCGAGGGTTATATCTTTGATGTCGAAGGTAAGTTTCAGTCCCGTTGATTTGGTTTTGCTCTGGCCATAGGTTAGGGTTAGGGTTAGGGTTAGGGTTAGGGTTAGGGTTAGGGTTTATGCTCTGGCTGAGAAATTGTACGCGAACAGTGGTGTGATTCCCATTATTTATGCTGTTTTGGGCATCATATATTGTGTTTCTCCTTCGATTATGCCTTGATTCGATGATTGAAATCCCTGTGATATAATCTATAGTGTGTAGTGTATTAAACTTTCATATTCGCCCTTTACTTTCAGTAAAAACTCAAGACACAGAAGTCCTCGTAAGGGCTAAAAGTTATAAATCCCAGCGGAAAAATGAGGAGCCATGGAGGTTACAGGTATTGTTACTGCCTTATTGCTTCGTCTGAGCTCAAGCCAATCTAGGAAAAATATCTTAAGTGTACTTTCTGGTTTCTGTTTGTTTGTTTGTTTGTTCTTTTTTTTACAGTTAGTTTGTTGCTGTTTATTGATTTGCTGGGCACTATTTAAAAAAATGGGATTGAGTAAAAAATAAAATTAAGAACGTTTCGCACACATTGCAAATCAGATATAAATACATATCAATTGTTTCTTTAGGTGAGAATATCAAGGGATGCAGAAGTTAAAATAACCAGTACCTCATGCAACTGTGAGGCAGGAGCAGGTCTCTGCAATCATGCAATAGGCCTGGTATACCTCCTTGAACACTACAGAAAACTTGGTTTAAGAAGTGTACCTCCCGTCATGTCTAAAACAAGTCTCCCACAGACATGGCATGTTCCACAAAGGACAGCAGGAATTAATCCCCGTGAGGTACAAGAGGTGCTAGTGCAACAGGTAAAACCTCCAAGCAGTGATGCTCCTTCAAGAAAGAAAGTACGCAGGATAGATGGTGTACGGTCCACCCTGTACAACCCAATTCCAGAACAATTTGGGGAACCTAAAATTATAGATTCCATGAAGGACATATTCAAAGTATATAAAGACATGCAAATAAATAGCATTGTTCCCGAAACGAACAGATATGACTTTGTGGACAGTAATCTCGGAAAGGTAGCTTGTGGCTCAGTTATCTCATACCAGCAGCGCCAAAACACAACAAATGACCCCAAAATTCACATGAACATTGACGGGCCAGAAAATCCACCAGCTTTTGATGCGCCATCACTTGAAAACCATTATTTATTTGTTCCCAAATTGGCAGAAATAAACTTTATTGAAGGACTCAGTGTATCACTAGAACAATCTTGTTTATATGAGGAAGAGACAAGGGAGCAATCTGACACACAGAAGTGGCATGACTTGAGGGCACAGAGATTATCTTCCAGTAAATTTAAAGATGTGTGTATACGAAGAGCTGACTTTGAATCATTGGCAGTCAGACAACTGAAGAAGACTGTGCAAACTTCGGCAATGAAGCATGGCATAAATACAGAAGAAGAGGCAGCTTCTGCATATGCTGACAGTGGAGATTGCAATGTTTTCCCTGCCGGGATTGTTATCAATCCGTCTTGCCCACACCTGGCTGCCTCTCCAGATCGAAGGGTTTATGATCCCTCTGAAAACAGTCCCTGGGGGCTGTTGGAAATCAAGTGCCCTATTAAGGATTCAATTTCTCAGCTGCCATATCTGAAATGTGTAAATGGAATTTATAAACTTAAAAAAACACATAGCTATTACTACCAGATAATGGGACAGATGTTGTTGACAGGTTGTGAATGGGTAGATTTTTATGTTTATTGTAAATCTGACTTTCATTTAGAAAGAGTGAGGTTTGATGCAGAATTTTGTGCAACGATGAAGATGAAATTAGACACGTTTTACTTTGAATACCTCCTCCCTGAACTGTTAAAAAAAGCAGGGGCTTAACCTGCCTTTTGAAGCACTGTTAAAAATAATGTCGAACATGCACCCAAAATTTCCATCTCCGTAGTGGAAGAGGTGTAAATATGTAATTATTTTCTGGAATCAAACAAATTGTAAACAAGTTTCCATGGTTAACTGTTACAACTGACATTACTGAACCGATCTTTGCCAAGGAATGTGTAGTTCCTGAGAATGTCCATACTCTTCCCATAGAAGGGATTTGTAAATGCCTGGAGATGAAGGGGATGCAGGGTGGGGGGGGAGGCATTTTTTTCAGAGGGTGGGAGATGGAAGTGGGTCTAAAAAAAATCTCCTTTGTGAGGGAGGTATGGATAATTCAAAGATCTAAACAATACTGACAAGCAAGTTATAGTTTCAATATAGTGGACCTCGAAAGTTTGTAAGAAGACAGCAAACTGTCCAAATTTGGTTTACCGAACCAGCCAACGAAAGTGGCAAAACTTTGTCAAAAATTTGATATTCTTTGATTCGTCTGATTGCTCGTTCAACATGTATACGAAGGCGGGCAATCTGTTGTGTTTCTGTTACTTCTTTGGAGGTGAACTGCATGGACCTTGTTTTAGAAAAGAAAGGAGGGATTGTCAATGTAGCTTTTTTGGGTTCTAATAAATCCTGAATCAGGAAACCCTTATCTGCCATGACCTCGTCTCCTTCTTGGATTAGTGACAGAATACCACTGCGTCTTGTAATCTCTTTGTCTGATATACTTCCCTGATATAGGGAACTTATAAATGTTACAGCGCCATGAGGAGCAATACCAACTAGGCATTTTAAGGTGGTATGCGACTTGTATGCTGAGTAAAATTCTGAGTTTAGAACCTTGGAGCTAGGCCTTTGGACCTTGATTTCGGTACAGTCTAAAATGACTCTTGTTTTAGGGTATATGGTTTTGAAACACTCAGGCATACTATTTTTTATCTGAGCAGTTGTAGGCCAAATTGGCACTTGGCCAAGCATTGTATACAGAAAATTTGCCCAAGTTAAAATAATTCTGCTAACAGAACTCTTGCTAATATTGAATCTTACTCCCAAGTCTGTCTCCAGTAATCCTAATCTTAGTCTGATCATAAATAAAAAAAATTGGTCATAGAGTGACAATGCCAAATTTCCACAGCTACGCCTTCTCTTGTAGTTTTCTTTTCCTCGTTGACGCTGAATCTGGGACCATTTTATCATAGTTTTTGCATATGGTTCAACCCAGCTATAAAAGCTATCGAATCGTTCTTTTGATACAAAGCCTGTGTAAAATGACAGCAGTTCAGGATCCTTGGAAATATTTTCAGCTCCAAACCTGGATCCTTTGAGATCTTCCACCTCTTCCTCTAAATCTTTGATTTTGGCTTTAAGGATTTCAATTTGTTCCTCTGCACTCAGTTCGGCAGGTTGAATGTTTTCGTTTTCCAGTTCAGCATTCATTTCTTCCATTGGCTCAGCGCCAGCACTGGCTTCCTGCACTGTCACTTGTTCAGTCACTTGCTTTAATTCAACATCCTGGCAGAATGAATCGACAATTGATTGTCGTCGCTCCTCCTGTGCTTGCATTTCGTTTATTTCTTTTAAATTTTGTAGTTTATTTTTGGAGCGTTCGTTGCAGGCCTTGGTCCATTGAAACTGAGATGGCACAGCTCCTGCTTTAAGGCGTGTTCTCCCTGTTATACTTTTAAACATATCACTTGGCTTGAAGTGAGCAGAACACACTAGAGTACAGCCTTTCTTGATCTAGGAAACAAAGTTTAAAACTCCAAATTAAAATGCTGATAACAAGTGAGATTCTCGTAGAATATTACTGACCACATCCGAGTCAATGAAAACAAACAAACCGGTTACAAGTGCGTTTGACAGCTTCGGCCAAAACCGCTTGAATCTAATAATCCGGTTCGATAAATTGACTGCACATTTTGTCTGGATATGTATTGAGTAATTATTTCTGGAATAAGAAGCGGACCTAATGAGTCTTAAATCGAAAAACTCCAGGAGAATCTCAGAATATTAATGAACATATTCGAGTCAATGAAAACAAACAAACCAGTTCCACGTGCGTTTAAATTGACAGCTTCGGCCAAAAGCGCTTGAATCTAATAGTTGAGGTTGATTAATTGACTGGATTTTATCAGGATATGTATTGAGTAATTATTTCATGAATAAGGAGCGGGCTAACTGAGTCTTAAATTTAAAAATTTTCAATATCGGCAACAAATAAAACTCTTGCGTTTGACAGCTCGCTGGTCGCGGCTCGTCACATGTCACACTAACCTCAAAATGTGGTCCTTCATCTCGCTTTATTGCGGCAATCCACTGCGATCGCTGTGTTTCGTTTGAGGGAAAGTTAAAAAACGACAAATCCTTTCCACTTTCGTTGCGTTTGTCGTTAGTACAGCAATTTACAGAACAATGATCGTTTGCCATATTTGTATATGGTATCTCTACTCAAAGCCCTTGTATATACAACCCTTCAAGTGCCGGCATGCCCGTCCAGCCTCGCTTTGGTGCGGCGCGCAATCCAAGATGGCGGAAAGTGATATCGGAGTATTCCGTTTGGGAATCTTCAGAAAACATGGGCTGTTTTTTGAGGCGATGCAATTTTTCTACTCTTTTTAGTCTGTTCAGCTGATCTGGATATACTTTGTAGCGGGTCTTTCTCCCACCACGTCAAATTTTATAGTTTTATGTTTCTGCCCACGATTTCCACCCGGGTGGTTTGTGTAGGGTAACTACCAATCCCCCTGGGGTTGGACGTTAGACTGAGATATATTTCCAAGACAAAATAAACTATATTTAATGTTTTGACTACTCTGTTTTCTCTAGACGAAATGAAGTCAACGCTTTTGCTGATCGCTATTGTTGCCGCTTTTGTTGTTGCCTCAGAGTCTGCTATCATTAACCCTGGCGGAGGGTGTCGTAAGTGCTACAGGAAGGATTATCAAGGGAACTGTAAGAGAATCTACCCGTGTAGCGAAAAAAGAGAATTTTTGAAGGAATTCTACGAGCTGCTGCAAGATATGCCACGTAACAATATGGACGAGCTCGAAGACCACGACTACTAGCTTCAGAACCTCTGGGAGTGTCAATGCTGCACGTATATAATTTAGCATCTTGTAGCGTAAATAATTCCGTTTTCACAGTATTTCTCATTAGCATGAATGTACTGATTTAAGTTACTCGTAAATGCGGTGTGTGGTCATGTTTACTTGTGAGCACTTTTTCCTACAGTGGTTGACTTTTCTACAGTTTGTGCCGAATAATCCTTTAGGAATTTTAAAGTGAATAAGGAATATTTTAGATGTAAAACTGAAGGTTGCAGCAATAAAATAATTACTGTGTGAAGTCCTTACCTTCTTGTTGTTCAATATCCCTCTTTCAGTATAGAAGCCCATTCCCTGGGTGCCAGAGGGTTTTCATGCGCGGTTTCCGGTTTCGGGAAAAAAGCAGGTCTTAAAAGCGGGAAAATCTGGAAGAGTTTTTTCACGTTGCTTCGCCGCTCGTGGCATCCGCCTTGGGCTAAAGAAGTGGCTGCGTCTGACAAAGCTTCTCGCCACACGCTAGAAAAAACCTCTGGGACCCAGGGTAATGGCGGCCCACCCTGCGAGCAAAGCCTGATGGGAAGAAAAGGAGGCCCTGCCTGAATCGCGTCAAACCTTTGAGGTCGCTGGAGCCCAAACCTCTGAACTAGTCAATCTTGTTCTCTCTCGTCAAACTGGTTTGTTCGAGTGCAAGCTCCTGTTTATTGATAAACCGATGGTCATAACCAAGCCCGCTGTAGCAAGCACACAGCTATTAGGCATATACTAGCAACATGCTGCGCATGCTCAACAAAGATCTTACTCGATTCATGCAGAGTCTGTCTCGAGAACGACAAAATCGAACAAGCAAAAGAAAAAAATGGAGGCCCAGGGACGTGTGAAGAAAACTCGACTGTTCTGGCTCTTTCAAAACTGAGTGGTGAACGTAAAAATTACAAACCTAGAACTGACATTATGCACTATATATGGCTGTTTGATCATACATCATCTTTAAATTAAGATAAGAAATGAGCAAGGAAGCTCCAAGAAACCTGGTCAGGTCCTAGTCATCGATCAATCAAGATGCTGTCTCGAAAGATCTGAAATCAATTTGCCATCATATTTGCCTCATTTAAGGTACATGATAAATTTATGACGGATGAATATATTAAGCCCCGTGCAAACGGACGCAACATTGTTGGATGTTACATGTTGCGTCCGTTTGCACACATTGTTGCGTGTTGTTGGAAGTTGTTGCACAAAGTTTAAAACCAGTCAAACGCTTATCTACGTGGAAAAGGATGAAAGGAAAAGCAACAGGGAAAGTACAATGGAAGGTCGAGGTGAAAGACAACTCTCTTATTGTGGATCCCAAAGAAAAGATCGCTGTAAACTCAAGTCATGATCATCAACCTTCCCAAGAATTTCCTATTGGGAAGACTTCCCTTCGGGTCATCGCCACTGCTGCTGCCGGAAACATCGCAAACTGCTTCTTTCTTCCTTCATTAAAAGGGCTTCAACTGGTATTATTGATAGAAAATGCGTCTAAATTTCTTGCCCACAGACAAGTAAACAGCAGAGTTAAAACCCCACTATTTTGTTGCAGTTACGGTAAGAAAGGTAGGTTGACTTTAAGGAAGATAATTTAAAAAGGAAACAGGGTTAAACAGTAGTGACAAGAGGTTTTTGCAAACTTCAGATTACAATTTGTTTAGTTAAGCCTAAAAGCGGAGCTACGAAGCTATTCACTTGATAACTTTGATAATATAGTTTTACTGTGTTATCCTTTACGAACGGACCCAGAACGGTAAGATAGACTATATATCAACCAAAAAAGCGATGCATTGATGCTTTGGATGCATGCATCTTATTAAAACAATGCTGTGGTCTTTTCAACATTACCCAAGGCTTATGTTTTCTTTGTACCTTCCATTTAAGATTTTTTATTCGTTTTGTAATTATTTCGCTCGTTAGATACTGCACCACCGACAATCAGCCACTGCCCAGGAGACATTGTGCGAGAAGAGGAAGAAGTTCAAGTTACCGTGAACTGGAAGGAGCCATCTTTTTTCGACAATTCAGGCCATGCCAAACATGTTTCAAACAGGCCAAATGATGAATTATTCGCAGTTCCCAGTGTCTGTGAGATCGTGTATACCGCAAGGGACCCGTCGGGTAATACGAACAGTAACTGACTTACATTTAGGATAATATTGAAGAGTTAAGTTGATATGGTTTATAAGTTACCCATGATACTGTCTGAAAGGGTAGGTAGTGTAGGAGCTGCTTGAAAGGACTCTCCCAGAAAACAATTAGCTATCATTCTTCCAATTGTCTTAGTATTGTTTGGGTCAGGGAAACGCACCATTGGTGACTTCTCTTCCGAGCAGCTACCGTCTGAAAAGTTTTAAAATGTCAATAAATTTATCTGTCGCGCGTAACCTTCTGTATCTGTAGTTTTGCTTTCTAAGCATTTTGTAATATTATACCAGAATATGTTTAGAATTTTAAGGAAAATGAAAGTACGTTTAATTTGATATTTAAAACACAAGACATCTGTCGCCAATTTTTAGTGATTATCATTTAACTGAATTGACAAAACGTACAGGTTGAAACTGGAATATATTAAAATACTGCAATATTAGTGGAATATTGTAAAGTTTATATTACAAGTTGCCAAAGACATGCATATTATAAGGAATACAAACAATCAAATACGAAGTTGCAACAACGACCATTTTCTATCGAGTCTCCCTCGTGTCGTCAAGCAACGCTTCTCCCTACAGGAGCGTTGCGTAACCACACGATTTCTGGTAAACCCTCAAGTTAAACATTCAAGGGATACAAGTTATGTTGTGATCGTTTCTTTCACAGAAAAAACGTGTACTATTTTTACACCTCCTCGAAACAGTGCCCCGGTGTGTATTACAATAGGTCCTGATGATACTTGCGCAATTATGTGTCGCAAAGGAACTGACTTTGTGTTTGACGCGTCTATGCTCTATGTCTGTGCAGATGCAAAGTGGCACTACTTGTCGATGTTACCTTAAAAATCAGTTACCCCCAGGCCAAACTGTGCTGGTAAGTGCTCTTGTTTTACGTGGCGAACAAAGGTTTCTCTTTTGCACGACTCTTAACGTTTACGAAGTCGTTCGCGTCTAATGTCTGTCGCCTAGTTGGTTGATTTTATATGATGAGTTCGGACTTCACTTTTCTTTTTAGGGGACTATATCACATAACCGCTAAATCAAATCGAAACGGAAACAAGAAGGAGAATGGAGCCAATGTGTGTCCCGCACATTCTAGGATCGTCCATGGGGAGGCATTGGTCAGCTATACACCACTTGCACATCTCCCATAATGCACCTTATTTGCCCCCCCCCCCCCATTTTTTTTTTCTCCTGGGTATCACAGCCGCCCAAAGGGAAATTGAAAACAATGCTTATGCAAAATTTTGGGGGGGCAAATAAGGTGCATTTTGGGAGATGTGCAAGTGGCGTATTGGCCATTTGTTTCTTCCTGTCCCCACTAACAGTCCCAGAAGTCTTTGCGATAGTTAACTCGGTCCAGTTTAATTTCCTTCTGGTTTCAGATGTGGCGCTGTTACAGTGATATGGGCATCTCCTCATATTACCTTTGCTATTTGGGTTAGGGTCAGGATTAGGGTTACAGGGGATGCCCATTTCACTAGGGTTTTGGGAATAGGGATGCCCAAAACGCGGCGATGCCCATATCACTGTGACAGCGCTGAAAAAATCGGGTGCGTCTTTTCTTCGATTATTTAAGGGAAGAGCGGTGCTTAAAAGAACAGCTAAATGAAGACAGGAACTTTACATCGATCAAAGTTAGCATGTTATTTAGTTATTAATTTTTTTGGAAGGAATAATAACAAAACGGTTACATTCGGCTTTCGTATAATCTGAAGAATCATGAAGATCAAAAAGTCGGCCTCGGCGGATAACACCCTCCTCGATCTGCAGTAATTCTTCAAATTATCTAATCTAATCTCGCCTCGTCTATTACAAATGTAATGGCTAATTATCCTACATATAATGCATCTTCATGATCTAACGGGCATTTTCCCCTATGTGTACCTTTTTTACTTTGATGCAGCTAGAGTGAATCCGTCACCCATGGCGATGCACGTGATCTTCGTGTCCAGGACAACATAAAAGAAAACTTCCACAAGTTATTAACATCGCGATTTCATATCTTTTGTAACCCATGCTCGAAGGATGATATGTTTGTTGTTCCAGGGATCATAGGTAAATCCAGTAAAGGTTCTTCAGTAGTTTTCACAGAGTCGTCCGGATCCCCTCGTTTCCTTTGAGGCTATCCGGGCCATTATATAGACACTAGGACATATTCGCCATTTGCGCAACATGGTTTTCCCACCATTATACTACTACAGCAGAAATTTCTGCAATTTGATTGGCTTAGAGCAGTGGTATTTCAGCTTAATTTGAAATACCTACAAGTGAAAATTACAACCCTTTTGTGGGCAGTAGTATAAACAAATAATAGCATGATTTGTACGTGATGTCTGGCATACATAACACTCGTGATATTTCAAAATTGTCTCAAATTTCACCTAACGGCTCGTGAAATTTCGTATATTAAAACAATTTCGAAATATCGCTCGTGGTATTTATGCCAAATATCACTACAAATCATGCTATTACCTATACATATTTTGCATAAACAGCGTCTTCAATTTCTCCTTGGACGGTTGTATCATGTGAGATGAGCAAATGGCAAATTCACCAGTTGAACATCTGCCATAATACACCTTGTTTGCCCCCAAAATTATGCGTAAACTTTGTTTTTAATTTCTTATGGGTAATACAGTCGTCAAAAGAGAAACTGAGGACAATGCTTATGCAAAATTTTGGGAGGGAAACAAGGTGTATTATGGGAGATGTGAACATGGCGAATATAAGCCCCGTACATTGTTGGCCATGCAACAACTCCCAACATTGTTGGATGTAACATGTTGCTTCCGTTTGCACACCCTGTTGCATGTTGCTGCGCAAAGTTTGAAATCAGCCTAAAGCTACGTGCAAACGGACGCAACGACTCCCAACATTGTTGACCCAACAGTGCAAACCAAAAAATGTCAAAGTTATTCAAAAATACTACTTTAAGTAAAGGTACTTAGAAGGAACATGGTCACGACTCGCGCATGCTCAACGGCAACAAAGTTTGATATCACGTGGTTTTTCTAAGCGCTTTAATGCTATTTTTGAACTGGCCAGACTTAAGGCGAGTCCAAAAATCAAACAGAATTTTGTAAAGCTGCGGCATTGCCAACTCAGCAGTTTACACTATGAATTAGCCAGCGTTAAGAGCGGTATAGCCCTTCGTCTCAGCGCACCAAAAGAGTTTTTTTTTGTTTACACAACTTTACCTCTTATTATTTTCTCTTATTAGCAGGTTGATCCCAGAGATTTTGAAGCAATCTCAAGAAGAAAAAAATGTTCACCAGCTTAAGCCTAAAGTGCTAACTGATTATGGTGTAATGCAACATGTTTGTATAAATAAACAGTGAACAATAATCAGCTGTCAGTTATCATTGTGCGACAGTTATGTTAAAACATAGTAGAAGAGACTGGTTATGCAAGTCTATAAAGGGGTGCGAAATCAGGGAAGTGACAAGTGAAAAGAGTTCCACTAATTAAAAAAATCAATTATGAATTTAGAATCAAGGAGCTTCTATCTAAAAGAATAAACATCAGAGATAAAAACAACGGTACTACAGTTTATGCTGGTAGCTCGCGGCGGTGCACAATCCTTTGTTTTCTGTTCACAAATTGTGCTGCATAAATTAATGCAACGTTTCAATCGCTCGATCAAAATGATGGAATGCTATTGAACGTTATGCACCGTTTGGTCCACAAAAACATATCAACAAAGGATTAACGGGCTTCATAACCATTCCACTCTATTAACTCTGCGTTTAATGAGAAGGGTGGATCCCAAATGAGGTGAAAGACGGTTGCCATAACAACGAAATGATGAAACAAGCTACACTGAAAGCACTTTTAGGCTAAAATGCGAGTTTTTCGTTCCCAGCTTAGTGTTAAATTATAACGTATTTTATATTACTACTGTGTAGTTTCTACATTACTGGGCTAAATGTTCAAGTTTTTAATAAATATTCACTAAGATTAGGGTCATTTGGAGTGACGTCTTTGGTTTACAGTAGCGTCACTTTGAACAGCTTCGCACTGGTTCGAGTTTATTTTATGACCAAGGGTCCGCCGTCTAAGAGTGATGCGCTTGTTACAAAGAGTTAAATAAGGGAGTTAAATTCATCGCTAATGATGAGCTTGGGAGCAGGTGCCTTAGAGGTCAGTGGGGGGTTAAAATGCAATCAGCAGGGAGGAGGTGTCCATGGAAACCCTGGAAGCGGGAACCACCCCAAGAGCGGCCTATAACCGGCACCGTCACACTGAATAAATTAAGTGGAGATACTTATACAAAACCACCACGCAGGGAGGGAGGCGAGGGAGCAAGAATCCGCAATGATTCGCAAGAAGGCAAAAATTGATCCGCTACGATCAGCAAGCAAAGCTACAATGCAAAGCAACACTAGCAAAAGGGCACACAAGGAGCCCTGCAAATCCCTGCGGGCCGCCTCGTAGGTCACAAACTGAAGTGGGAGAAGACCGCTGGCCAACTGTTTATTTCTGCCTAAATGATATTTTACCACATTAAAGAAAGGAAGGTACAAATTCCAGCTGTCGGTTTTACGCCGAGGTGTCCGTCGGGGAAGACGCAGTACAGAGCCGACTATAGGCAAGTTGATATAGCCTTCCCCAGGCCCGATTGGTGCATTTACAACAAAATGGCCGCCACGGTAACCACTCGATCTCAACGATCTTACGGAAAAATCGAGTCGGTTTTATAACACTGACGACCGGAAAAACATCTGTCTTAGAATGGTCATATTCATTGGTGATAACCAGTGATAAATTGGACCGCAAATACTTAAATTTTTAATTGGAAAAACGCTTTATAGTAGGTCATAGAGATTCATATTTATTTCTTTAAAATATAACCTTATCTACACAATAAACTTATCTACAAAGATATTTTACAATATACATTTTTGCTCAATACATGCAACGCTTCAAAGCGAGCTTTCCATTCAAAAAATCGTACATAAAAAAGGAATATATTGAAATAAACTAAATAGATTTACTTAGGTTGATCAAGTATTTACATAGTCTCCAATATATATATTTTTTTACTGTTTCGGTTATTAACATGCCTTCGCAAAGAATTTTTTCCTATAATTCAAAAAAGATCCTCGGTAAATAAAACTTCAGTGCAAGTAATGGGCCGGTTTTTAGTATTTTTACATTGTCAATAGTTGCTATATTTACAAACGAGCGTCTCTGCCACTACAGCACTAAAGTAAATAAAAATAACAACAACAATAACATGAACAACAAGTTTGTCATTTTCCCAAGAAAAAACGACTTAGGTTTCTAGGAAACTGCCTACCTACCACTCCCCTAAGCCAGCATTTTGTCTTAAGTGAGGAGTTCTTGTTAAAGTTGAGTCAGGGGAGGGGTAGGTGGGCAGTTTCCTTGAAATCTCCAACCATGTCAGTCGCGGTGATTAGACAAATGCAATTTTACTTTTAACCCGGCTAATTAAAAATTTGGCAAATAACCTGAGTCGAACTTCCCCGTGAATAGATTGCGATATTTTCTGTTAGTATATACCATAAATGACCTAATAAACGACCACTTCCAAATAAACGCCTCTTATCTAATAAACACCCCCTCCACATGGGTAAAATTTAATTAGACGCCCCTCTCTAATAAACGCTCACTGTCTAATAGACGAGAGAATTAGTCCAAAATACTGGGAATTAGCAAAAAAGGAGCAAAATCATTCAATTCATTCCCTTTCTTGCTTGATTAACAAGGCTTGGCGTATTTTATCTTGTTCTACGTCAAGTTTAAAGTAAGGATAGACTAACGATGACAACACAATAACAATGAGCGAGGATTCTAACATTAATGCTGGGATTTCAAAGAGCGATATGGATCTCTAGACGGCCTAGATGTATCAATTGAAGAAGAGGATATTCCGCTGTCTTTGAACTCTCCTGATAATTTCGCCGAAAGAATATTAGTTTTTTTGAGATTGTTACAGTAATGATACGCCTCTCTCTTTTGAACGCCCTCGCTTGGACGCCTAAAATTAAATAGACGCCCCGGGTGTTTACGAGGTCATTTATGGTATATATGTTTTGTATTTTTTTTTTCACAGGCACTTAACTGGGAAATTTTGACGTGCTCTCTGTAATGAGATATAAATGTAAATTATATTCCATTCAGCCATCTTGTTTCATTTCTTGTCTTGTAAAACGTAGAAAGCAATAATGGTCGAATTTTTACGAATGCATGACCAGCGCTCACGAGAAACCCAAGAATACTTAATCGGGAATTACAACAAATACAAAGAAACACAAAGTTGCGTACAAAGTTCTCTGAAACACGACAACAGGTTTTAATGCGGACGATAGCTTGCAAATTCACGAGATCTTTCAAAGTCAAGTGTTTCGTTCTTTTTTACACGTAAATTCTACATTCCGAGTCGTTATTAATTCATTTGTTTTTTCATCGCGACTCATTACATTGTATCTATTTTAGATGACAATTTGATGTCCTTTGATTATTACAAGTAGATCGCCTTTTAAGGATCATAAAATAGTTTTACCTTGTGCTATGTCAATAGTTCACTTGAAGTTTACACTTTTGGAAAATTATCATTCATAACAGCGCGGTTTTAATTTCTTTTTAACTTTAAACTATTAATTAAACATGACCAACAATATCTTAATATATTTTAATATCTGGCTACTCTAAAATCAGAACTTATGGGCAGCGGTTTTCAAATAAGCACTTGAAGTACCGCGTTGAGTTTAGAGTTGCATTGCTAAGGCATGATTAGCTAATTTTGACTCCAGTGTGATATATTACACACCCTGAGACCAGAACCTTCCTTTTCTCCTCTTCTTGATCGAACAAGGGAGAAATGTCTGAACCGCCTTTGAAGTCAACGCAGTCCTCACTTCTAGACTTGTCAATCTTGTTTTCTCTCGTCAAACTGGTTTTCGAGTGCAAGCATTCCGTTTAATGATAAACCGATGGTCACAACTGAGCCCGCTATACCAGCGCATGGCTATTAGGCCTGGGTTTCGAAACTGTATCCTAGCAACATTCAGCGCATGCTCAACAAAGATCTAATTCGATTCACGAGCACTCCAAAATCGAGCACATGAAAGAAATACTCTGTTGGCAAGATGGATTTTACCGAAATTAATTAAAAACCTCCCTTATATGTAATTTAAAATAACTTAACAGTTAAACTCATGTATAAAAATCACCCGAAATAGGAATACCTCTGCAGGTTAACTGTCTCAATGTACCTTCAATAAAGTTATCACCTGGCTTACTCTTTGTTCTCTATAAATTATTCTGCTACCCCTCAGCGCTTATTCGTTGCTCCATCTTTTCTGTTTCCAGTGGATATGGATTACTTCAATGGAGCTTCTCCTGTTCACTGTGGTGGCGTCTTTCAGTCCACTCCTCTGATAATATTGTCAAGAAATGATTCATTTCATAGATGTTGATGTTTTCTGCTACAAAAGCTTTTTATCTGCGCTAAAATTGGTATCTATGCCTCGCAGTGCTAAATGTCCAAAGGACTGACTGACTGTCAAGAACTCGTAGAAACGACTGAGTGTCCGTGATTTCTCACTTCTTGACTGTCTCTAATGACGATGGCAGAACTTCTTGGCTGTTTGAGTCAGGGATTGATTACAGCGCATGATCTAACCTGTCTGTATTCAACTGACGGGAATAATTACACATCCCTCTCTTGCCTGTCAGCAACACTGTTTCCTTAATGTCATAAACACGTCGTCACAGCGGAGTTTTGAACGAAGTGGTAACTAAGAAGCTCGTCGGCCGAGGGCCTCTGTCTTGAGTTCCTATGAAAACGGAAATGAACACACAATTTAAGCACACGATGGCCTCTTTCGTAACTTAACTACATTGTCCATCCTATTAAGTCCACCCAATTGGTAAAGGAGTTCCTTTATAATCTTTCTTACACGGACTTCAATGACACCAACACTACACCAGCCTGTGTCAAATACCATTTATGAAACAAGCCATTATACAGTTGTACGCTTAGCGTCCTGGAGGTGATCTTGTTATGTTACTGACTTTTTACCGTGCTTTCCAGACTTTTTCCCGGTCAGGAAAATTGCTGGATATATCTCAAGACCTTTTCAAGAATTCAAGACTCCGTGCGAACCCTGACTTGAGGAAATCGTGGCGCTAACAACGCTATGAAGATGTTTATTAACAGATGAGAAAATGGGAAGGTTTGCAATAAAAAAGGTATCCTCCAGCCTCGCTTCTATTTTAAGACCAGGACACTAAGCGCACAACTATAAAATGGACTATTATAGTTGAATACCACTGCATGACTGTGCTATTTACAAACGTTGAAGTTGCCAAGTGCAGCGCAGAAATTTTTAAAATATCCAGAAAAATTCCTGTCTATAATTAACTGTTACTGGTGTAGCATTACGTTGCTTTTAAAAAAGACAACTTTCTTTACTTTTACTGCTATAATCATAGCGATACTTAAGAGGTTAACTTGGGAGGCATGTTGACAAACTTCCATAATTTTCCCTTTCGCTAAGTAATTGAACAGTACACGCCATTGCGCACGCGCACTGGATTGGTTTTTTTTTTCCACTGCTGGCAAAAATTCTCGGAATAAAAAATCTTGTGTTTTAATTTTAAAAAAGCTAAAACTATCACAAATTTTGATATAGTTCTGATTAATTGGTAACAGAACTTCGTGTCGTCAAATTCGGTCTGTAATCATACTCGTCGTAAACGACTCCCGCCCGGTATGATTTTATTCTCGAAATAAAAAATCTTGCATTTTAATTTTAAAAAAGCTGAAAATATCACAAATTTTGATATAGTTCTGATTAATTGGTAACAGAACTTCGTGTTGTCAAATTCGGTTTGTAATCATACTCGTCATGAAGGACTCCCGCCCGGTGTGATTACAGACCGAATTGGACTCCACTGAGTCCTTTTACCATTATCAATTGTACTCGTAATTTAAGAGCATCTTAACGGCTTAGTTTTGTTCGACGTCCACCACACAAAACTTGGCCGTGCCATTCATAACTGGCAATGCCTTTTGTGACTGCATCGTTAGTACAAAAACCTACTTGATAAGAGTTGATTGTATAAACTCCCTGGCATCTTCTGATAAATCAATCGGTAATGCAGGCTCTGTGAGCTGCGTTGCAATCTTAAACAGCGCCGCCATTGGCTCAAATTCTGACCACGGGGGTTTGGTGGTCAACATCTCCACAACAGTGCAGCCAAGACTCCTTCAGGGAAAAGAGACAAAAACAAAATTTTTAATCTTTTATAGGATAAGTAATTACCAGGTAGCTTCAAATTTAAAAGCCAGGAGTAATTTGCTTTGCTCCATGTCAATATGGTGGATCTAAGTCTGCGTAAGTGAACGAGAAAAATAAAAATACTTTTGGTACTGTAACCATTTTCATAAAAGCTTCTGAAAACTACTTTCATTGTTATACTGTACAAGGTAGTTCTGGTTTTTAGTTCTGTCGCATTCAATAGCAAGGTGGCTGTTAACTTTAAAGGCAGTGTCGCCATTCAAGTGAAAGCTACTGAGAAGTACTTTCCTACTGTTTATTATGCTGTACAAGGTGGTTCTAACTTTTGAGTCTGTGGATGAAATCCTAAAGTGTGACCATTCAAATAAAAGCTACTGGGCAGTACTCTTTCTGTAGTACTGTTTATTATGCTGTACAAGGTGGCTCTAACTTTTGAGTCTGTGATTGAAATCCTGAATTGTGACCATTCAAATGAAACCTACTGAGCAGTACTTTCCTATGGTACAGTCCATTATGCTGTACAAGGTGGTTCTAACTTTTGATTCTGTGGACAAAATCCCTGTATGTAACTATTCAAATGAAACTGAACTACTTAGTACGCGAATTCCTTCGTGTTTCTGTTTATTACGCTCTACAAGCTGGTTCTGGAAGTATAAAAAGTGTGACCAAAACTGAACTTACCAGATATCCGCCTTTCTTCCATACCCCTCGCCATTAATGACCTCGGGTGCCATCCAGTAAGGTGTTCCATGAACAGATCGGAACCCTGTTTTACTACGAATTGTCTGCAGAAAAAAAAGGAACAAAAGCCCTTACTAAAGCAGTGCCATGTATAGCTAAGTCATTTTAAAGCCCATTTATGGAGCCCACAAACATTACATTTCCGTCATTTCCGTCTTTAAACGTTAGTGCGTTTTTCCCCCCCCCAAATTCTCGGACGCTTATGTACATGAAAAAGGTTGCACCTCACTGGATTAATAATTTAAGTCTTTTTACTCCCATTTTGTAAAATGCTAAAACAATTACTAGTAAGCACTGTAAGTGCTACCAAAGACGGTTTAAGACCCCATGGATTTACAGAAGAATACAACCTACATTTGATCATTTACATAAAAACACATACTTAATACTTATTGATCATTCTAACCTTTGACTTGGCGGAATAAATCCTGGGGTGTGGACGTTTAGATGAAAAATACTGCTCATACTTGCCGACACTAAATCGGCTATAGAGTCTACTCTCTCTTAACGGACACCTCTATAAGACGGACACCTCTGTAAAATGGACACTCGGAGTTGGTCCCTGCCTTTCTTTACTCCCTTTATTTGATTCTATATAAGACGGACATCTCTCTATGACGGACACATACTGCTGGTCCCCAAGGTGTCCGTCTCAGTAAGAGTTGACTGTAATCCTCGTTGTTCACACAGAAGGAATTCTGTTTTTACTTGAGTTTCAAGTTTCGTTGATTGGGTAACGCGCCAAAAGTAACACAAATACAAAACAGCCCATTAAAACTTTCGATTTTACCTGTAGTCTTTTCGAAGCTCCAAAGTCTGCCAGTTTTACATTGCCACGAAGATCTCTGAGTATGTTTGCTCCTTCAAAGATGAAAAGTATGACAACCATAAGAAATGGGCATATTCCTTAAATCAAATATTATCTGAATTTTTCAGTCTACGTCTACTCTGTACTAAAGGCCAGCTCTCCTCAACGGCTACTCATTTTTGTCTCGGTGGAAAGTCTATACATTCACCCCAGGTTTAACCTCTCTTTAAGGTTGAAAAACAACGGCCACTAGCCGCTGGTTTGTTCTCCCCTCTCCCAAAATTACCTTCAAATTAGGGCCTCTCTCCTCCAAAGAGGCCTCTTTGTGTCCTAACGAGGGTGGGGAGGGTAAAAAAGGAAAGCGCGCATGCACCGCATGCTTACCATTTTTTATTGGAATACCCAGCGGGAGCCTCGGCGGAGGAGTGAACATTAAACCTCCTCTCTCCCCTACCTGCCCCACCCACACTGTGTGTACAATGGCCACTTTCTTCTGTCCCTGAGGTGGCTGTCATAAAGTGCACTGATTTTATTTTAAATTATAAACAAAGAACACCAGCAAGATGGAAAATAATGATGATAATGTTTTACCTTTAATGTCTCTGTGTACTATAAGAGCTGTGTGCAAAAAAGACACTCCTTCAAGAATTTGTCTTGTATACTTTCTTGTTAAGCTCTCATTGAGGGCTCCATGTTGTTTTATATGGTCATGCACAGATCCCTGTGGAAAAGCAAAGCCAAAAGGCAGACGACATTAACATTACTAAATGCTTCATTGTACAATTGGAAAATACGTCCTCTTATTTAACGCCCTTTTCAAAAATACTTGTTCCATAAGCCTGCCATTTACAGAAACAACATGGCATTTACAGAAACAACATGTAAAATGTACTATTATACTTTCTCTTCTAAAATTACATTAGCTCTAAGGTCTCGGTAAAGGAAAAGCAGAAAAAAAAGAGTATTTTCTGTTATATATCACAAAAGACGTCTTATAAAAGATTTTAATCGAGTTCAAAAAGGTAAAACCTCGAGTTTTTAGCAGTAAATATTATGCTTTTTATTTTCTGATTCAGATAAAATAAAACATTCAGGATACAATGTCTCGTATTAGCGGTTGCATTTCAAACTAAAAAGTCGAATCTCGAGCGCGACTGACATAAAATGAGTTACAAAGGAAATCGGAAAATTCCTCACACCCTTTTTGAGTCTATATCATTATCCATCATATCTGAAAGTTTCAAACCTTAAATCGACTGGAGGTCGGGAAAACGCTCTAAAGATTTAGCGCGAGGTCCACGCTTGGCTGGTTAGCGCAAAAAATCATTTTGAACGGTTAAAAAACCTGATTTTCTTTTTCCCAAAATAAAATTTAGGACCCACTCATGCCAAAAATCCAAAAAAAACAAAATCAAATGTACTAAAATTTTCATTTACCGAGACCTTTGCTCTGCCCGCATGGGAAAACAACCGGACTGCCCGCACAACCGGACTGTATCTTGTGAAAAATCAAACGTAGTTTATTCGCGGCCATAGGCAAGAATTAAAGAATTTGCGATATAACGAAAGCCATTTTTTAAAACAGGAATCGAGAAAAGTTTCAGCGTTCTGTACGAACATTTAACATCTGCTACATGTAACGCAACCGTTACTTTTGACTTGAAAGGCAAAATTATTATCTAGAATGAATCATGACCACTTCAACTTAAAAAATCATACCCCGGGTAAGTATTCCATGAAGATATATACATGAAGATCTGTCTGTTCTGTTCCATAGTACAGAACTATTCTTTCATGTTGAAGATTCTTCAAAAGATCGATTTCTGCTTCAAGGGCGTTTACTTCCTGCAAACGTGGTAAGCAAGGCGTAGTTAGAGGTCGACTATTCAGATAAAACGTCGGTTTTTCGCAGGGATAGAACAGCAAGCGAAACGAGGGAGTGCGCGTGAAAATCGCCACCCACGAGAAACGCGACTTTCATCTTTCCTCCGCGTGTCACCTTCCTCGCGGTTGGCAATCTCAACGTGCGCTCGTGTAGTTTGCTCGCTCTGATATAACTGAAGAAAACGTGGGACCACCCGCAGTCTATGCACAGTGTTCTTAAAAGATGGAGCGACATTACATAATCCACGGTAAATAGTGTTATTTAAAATTACAATACAATCAAGGTTTTAAACTAGTACATATCCAAGAAGGAAGTATAGGTTTATTTAAGCGTTGACGCACCTTTTGAGTTGCTGTATTTAAAAGTCCCACTTCAACTTGTTTGACGGCTAATTCACTTCCTGTATCATGATCATGACACAGGTATACCTTAAAAAAAGATATCAATAAATTTTGTTACATAGCTGGAAATTTTTTCCCAACAGTGCGCGCCCTCCGCCTCATTTGTTACTTTGAGGTCACATGACATCTATCAATGGAACTGTTTCCCGCCAAAATCTCTGGGCGGGCAACATAACAAAATCTATGACGTCAGAGAGTAACATTGCACTGTTACCCGCCGACGTTTACCGACGACTGCCGCTACAAGGATTAATGAATTTCCAGCTTCAAAATTTCCAGCTATATAACAAATCACTTAAAGACCGGTCCGTCGGGAGACAGTTAATTTTGATTCCCGAGAATATCAATGTTACCCGAGGAACATTGAGATTCTCAGGAAACAAAATTAACTGTCTCCCGACGGACCAGTCATTAAGTGTTTATTGTGAAAGGTTTGAACCCAGGAGTCATTTCAAAAGTAGGTTGAGTTTGACCGTCCGGGTGAACGTAGTCCTGAATAGGACTGTTGTTGTTGACAGTGACTACAACAACAGTCCTATTCAGGACTACGTTCACCCGGACGATCAAACTCAACCTACCTTTTAAGTGCCTATTACTGAGCAACCTGCGGTCATGTTTTTTTCAAGTTGAACATCACCCAGCAGGACGATGTAGCCCTGGAATTAAAATCCTACATGAAGAAATGTTTGCTGACCAGCTATTGGTCAGCACTGGACAAGAACTCACGACAATGAAGTTACAAACCTACCCCACCAACAGTAGCCTGCGAAAACAGCCATTTTGCGAAACGTCCCCAGCGGCGAGGAGCGAGGAGAAACGGCTGTTTTCGCAAGCTACACCAACAGCCCATGCTGCTTCGCACAATAATTATTATAATGTCGGTGCTTACAATGAGAATATCCACACTCACTCCGTGGATGGTAGTTAGAAATTTTTGTGAGAGCAAAAGCGCGCCATCTCTGGAGGGGAAAAGGAAGCTTAGCAAAAGCCCTCGGATAATTTTGGGGAAATCTACTTTTGCCCCATATGAGTGCAGTCCTAGCTGTGATTCACATTGAAGTCTCCAACCGGTTTTTTTTTGTTTCGACGCCCTTTTAGCTACTCCCCACATTTCTGAGGGTTTTCGGCCGGAAATTGGTATCTATTATGCGGCTCAATTTGAGGTTTTACCAAATCCCCTTGCTCTATCAACCTTCCCCGACAGACGCACCATCAGTTTGTACTTCGCGGTCACATGACATCTACATGTAACCATGAAAATGTTTCCCGCCAAAATCTTTGAGCGGATCTATGACGTCAGTGGGTAACAGTAATACAAGTTTACTGCTATCCCTCATGGTGACCAAACAGGACACAGCTTAAAGCTTGCTCATGATAGCTTACACCTTACCTGTCCAAACGCTCCAGCTCCAAGGAGCTTTCCTTTTGTCCAGTTTTCAGGAACTTGAGGTACTGTGGAAAGAATACCAAGGAATAAAATGTTCATGAATGTTGCTAATGAAAAAGCAAACTTAAGAGAGAGTCAAACACAAGGAAATAAACGGAGTAGTTTCCACATTTGTACCTCAACTCATCAAACATTCATGAAGAGAAAACAGAGGAAATCACTACAGTAAAGAAAACATGCATAACGGATACAAATAGAGAAGTGATGACGTCACAAAAAACTAAATTTGCAAAATTATGGGATAGTTCCAGAAAGGACAAGATGAAAAATGTCCACTTGCTAAAAATCAGCCTGTTAGTGCAAATTGTGGGGATATACGCACCGTTATGCGACAAGGATTTGTGTAGAGTCATCAGAACATAACGGTGCTTATATCGCCCCACCAATTTGCACTAAAAGGCTGATGTTTAACTTGGCCCAGTTTCTTTCTCGTTTCTAGAGTGGCTAATTACCAAGAACTCCGGGAATTACAGCTTTAAATTTCTTCAAGAATTGCATGTGTATCGATCATTTGAGAAGCTAAACCAAACAATTGTCTGATATTCAGACATATCTACGTTGGCTAAAAATACTCGGTCGCCACTTTTTTTAGGAACCATTGCATGCAGTCTTAGAGTATTACATGTAGGGATTAATTTAGTTTCACGACAGTTAATCGCGTTGGTCAGACCGCATCCTAGTCTGGTGTTCCTATGGCACAAAGGCAGAAATTTTCAAGCTATCACGGGCGACTGCCGATTAGCCGCCCCTATTAACTAGTTTTATCAGGGGCATCTCGGTCGCAAGGAACTGGACTCCTTTGGACTCGTTTTCGTTTCCTTTAGTCTCGTTTTCGTGCAGATGTCAAGCTCGTAGAATAAGACATAGGTATGTGAGACTATAAATAAGACGAACGCGGATCCATAATCAATGATTTTTACTAGTTTTATTATCAAAATCCTTTTCCAGCCATTACCTTTTGGTTCCACCGCAGACATATCTTTTAGCCTCTGCACAGCAGCCTCGAGCTCAGATTCTCGTCTTGGTCGTCTGCTTCCCACATTATCAATGTCTGCCAACAGACCACTACTGCTACTACTGCTACTCGAAGGGCTTAGTTGTTGGTCTGTTCTCATTGAGGGGGGAATGGGCTTGCGAGAATTTTGAGTTCCATTGTATATCTGGTTTCCTGGAAAACAATTGGGGTACATACAGTTTACATGGGAAAACCGGAAATTCTGTTGCGAAAATCAAATGGTTTGTGCTATTCCGTTTAAGCCTCAGAAAAGAATTATGGGCTGCATGTGCATGATTTGCAGCGATGCAATTTTATATTCTTTTTAGCCTGTGTAGCTGATTAAGACATACTTTGTAGCGGATCGTTCTCCCACATGTCAAATTTATAGTTTTATTTGTATGCACAAGATTTCCAACCGCATGATTTGCGTTTAATTGTAAGTAACCTTAGGGCTTATTCATTTGCCCATTCCGCAGCAACAGATAATCCTAAAGTATTCGTTTGTAGACCACATTGTATTTAACGTGTTACTTATAGTTACGTTGTACCAATGAAATACACGGAGGTTTATAATTTTTGAATCTGTGGATGAAATTGTTAAGTGTGACCACTGAGATGAAAGCTACTGAACAGTACTTTCCTGTAGTATTGTTTATTATGCTGTACAAGGTGGTTTTAACTTTTGAGTCTGTGGATGAAATCCTATGGTATGACCATTCAAATGAAAGCTACTGAGCAGTAATTTCCTGTGGTACTGTTTATTATGCTGTACAAGGTGGCTCTAACTTTTGAGTCTGTGGATGAAATCCATAAGTTTGACCATTGAGATGAGAGCTACTGAGCAGCACTTTCCTGTGGAACTGCTTACTATGCTCTACAAGTTTGTTCATAGGAAGGCTACTGAGCAGAACTGTCCTGTGGTGTCGTTGATTATGAAGTACAAGGTGGTCCAGTCTAACTTTTGAGTCTGTGAATAAAATCCTATGGTGAAACCATTCAAATAAAAGCTTACAAGCAGTACTTTCCCATGGTGCTGTACAAATGTATATTATACATGTACTTTACAAGGTGGTTCAACCTTGTAAGTCTGTGGATGAAATCCTAAAGTGTGACCAAACACATTTTAAAAGAAATAGATTCATTTTCTTACCATCATGGAATTCCGCATTCGAACTTCCAATAGTATGGCTCCTTCTTCTGGGATATGTGTGTGCTTTTGAATCAGTCAAGTCCTCTTCTATAACAACAAAAGAAGGCACTGTGCAAGGTGCATGCGAAACCCTTCTATTCTAAGGTTTACAAGAGTAAACCTAAGGCATCCTTACTATACGTTGGTAGCTCCAAATAGCTATCATCAAACTAGCACATCTGAGGCCCACGATGCACTCATTTTACCACCCTCCATTCATCAGTGCTCTGTTTTACGGGTAATTAAACCTACTTAAAGCTACACAGGAAGATATGAAGTCAATCTGGGGAACGCAGGACCTCTAACACAGTAGGCCGCGCATCAACTAACTGTGCCAAACTTAACTTTGTACCACAGTAATTAATTTTTGCTGATTTAATATTAGACTCTTAAAACTTTTGCGGCCTTTACCTGATGAAAACATTCCTGTTGTGAGGACTAATGAACTGTTTGATGCAGACCTTGTTGAAGTATGGAATGATTGTAACTCTCCACCACTAAAAGAAAAAAGCATCTTCAACTCCCAACATAGCCTGTGTGGCAGACCTAGGGTAATCTAACCTGGCGGGCTAGTAATGTCTGTGAAGCAGCACCAAGATTCTTTTTCTGGGTCCCCAACGGACTCAAGGAATAACCTGAAGTGTGTTTGAAATTTCCCTTCAATCTGATTGGCCAATGAAACAAGGCCAACCATGGCATGTACTCAAATCCTGGTACATAGAGTGGGGGACCCTGAACAAAGATTTTGGCACTGGCTTGCAGCGATACGTAACAAGTAGGTTTAGTTTCAACTGTGGCACAGCTGGCTACTCCCAACATTTACCAAAATCACAAAGTTCAAAGTTCAGACTCTTTACTGCACTGTAAAATTAAGTAATGGTCCAGATAAGAAGGAAAGGACCAAAACGCAGTGAACACGTCGGAATGCAAAAAGGTGCTAACTTTGTGCCAACCAACCTGTCCACAGAAAATGATGATCCTTTCCAAGATCCCTCAGAACTTGGACTGGAATGCACCCTGACCTGAAAGGAATAAATTTGACACCTCCATGTATTAAAACTCTTTTTGGACATGATATTATGCAAATGCATGCAGAACATTGAATGCCACTTGCAAATTCATAATAATGTTACTATAGCCTTTAAATTTATGTCCAAGCACTATATTTTGCTCTCAAGAAATCAATTATTAAGAAAACAAAAAAATTAATACGGAAAATATAGGGTTAATGATAAAACTGACAACAACAATTGGACATACATAAGGTGTAAAAAGAAACAAAACAATAGTATTACATGCAAAACTTTTGTATCAATATTGAGTAAACAGACTATCTTACCTGGCTGTGAGAAAGTGGATCAAACCATGCACTATGTCTTGGCATTCTTGGCAAAACCTGCCGATATTATTGTATAGACAATTTATTAAATTTCAGCAATGTATAGTTCTAGAAACTATCCATACCTCCACCATGAAGGGCAAAAGAAATTCTGAGGGGAGGGGGTCCAAAAGGAGGCAATGTCCAAGGGGGGTGGGGTGGCTTCTCAAGGTCTTTTTTCTGGGGGCTCCAAGATTGGTGAGTTATTAGAAACTACCAGCTGAGCCTCTGTTGAGCAAGCTACAGTGTACCAGTTATTTCACTTTCAAAAGAAGACTTACTGTTTTCATTGATGATCTTTTTTTAATGGGGATACCCAACCAAGTTGGAAAAAAATCACAGAAATTCCAGGGGGGTGGAAATTCAAGGGGATGGGGGGTCTAAAGTACAAGTGCCCTGCATGTATGTGGGGTGTATGGATATTTTTTGGAACTACTCACTTTCATGATAAACTTGTTGATGTTTTTCTTTCGTTCAAGTCTTAAAAGAAAATTTTTCAATCCCACCTTTATATTATGTATATTATGTGTGTACGAAATACACAACAAACCAAAATAAAAAAAATAATGATACATTCATGTATTGTAGTACATTGTACCTTATTTTAGGAAATTAACGCAACTTAAATAACTGCAAATTCAGTGGAAAAGGACTTTCAATTAAGAAAATTAACCCGAAAGAGAGGGTAACATTTCAAAATGAACGAAATTAATATGACACAAGGAGTCAATTAATCTGATACAATATTCCATGTTATACATACCACATGATCTTGACTTTCTGGAATAAATTCTCCCTCGCCCTTTACAAGTATAAGGAAAAAAAAAAGAAGAAAAAATACAATAATTACCTTGTGGCATTGACAAAACATTTTCAGGAAGGTATGGGGAACAAACAGTGTATTTTATATTGTGGTTATTAATTTTTTCTTAGTTCAAAAACTTTTTAAAACAGTTTGATTTTTGTTTTCCTTTGCTTCAGAGTCCGTTAACATTATCTCCGACCTAAGACAAAATTTAAACAAGACAGAATTAAAAAATTGAACCAAATGTGCATGTGAACACAAAGGTTGCCCTGCTACATTGTATCAGAGGATTCGTGTACTGGTTAAACCATCTAGTTTTCAAGTTACAGGGTTTTGCTTTTTGCTAGGACTCTGCACCTGTAAAGTGTAATTCTACAACTTAAAAACTGTCACAAGTAATTATACTTCATGCACCTACTTTACAGCTGTACTTATGTTCAGTTAAGTTCAATAATAATTAGGGCACCTTAGACAGTGACATTCCAGTATTAATTTTTATAAATTAATGCAAACTTAACAACATTGAATTTTACGTTTACAATGTACAATGTGAGTACAATATTATTAAAATTAATGTAGGTGTAGTTTGGCTTCCCATGCAAGTCTAAACCTGTAAAATACTACTAGTCAGTTGGCAGATTGGAGCTGGCAGAGTGACCCCTTTGCTCCTCAATGTGATCCACAGGACACCCAACCTCAGAATACTAATACCAGTTTATATGCTGACAAAGCCCTAGTGTAGCTTGACAGCTTTTCACATTGAAGAAAACAGTCAATAAAACCTTACCCTGACCATATGAAAAGGCTGCATAGGGATCTGGTCATGATGAAATCCAGGTGGAGGTGAATTACGCCCTGTGGTGTTGATGCTACTTGACGACATATACTGGATGTAATTGTATCTGGAAAGACTCGGAGTATTGGGTGGATCCACCGCCATGTATGCGATATGCGCTATCTCATCAGGTGTGGACTGTGACCTGGAAAGATGCCTTTATTTTTTGTTAATTAGAAAGTTACTTCACATAAAAACCTGGTTTTCACTGATACTAATTTTTTATCAAAAATTCTAGACATTGATTTATTTCACTGGTTGCTTACAATTCCAGATTTTCCCAATGATCATGCCCATAAATTCACAGACATCCATAATCATGTGGGATAGTGAAATTAAAAGCATGCTCAACATCCTCATCATTCCTAAAATACATCATGACACTCAAAGTTCCTGGAATGTCAGCAATACCCTAAAGCTTGATACCCCAGGAATTCCAACCTCAGAATATCAATATGCCAACAAAGCCCTATTGTTTGGCTACTGCCTCCCCATTCACAAATCAAACCGACATCTGGGACACCTGGATTTTCCACCCTATCTGTAAACTCTGGGATGGTCAGTATAGGGTGAAATTCTCAATCATTTGAGTTTTTCCTGACATACACTGTATGAATCCCAGGCTACAGGTAGCTATACACTGTAAGAAGACATTTTCTACAGTCATACAAATCAAAGCCTCTAGGGAGTTTTCAAGGACCAACGTTTTTGTTTTTTGACAGGTTGAGAGGGAAGGGGATGTTGGGCAGGGCTGTCAATAAGGGCCAGTAGCCAGCCAAAACCACTGGCTAGTCAGCCATCCTTAGCCAGCTACTTTCATTTCCTTCTACCATAACTGCTAACAAAAAATAAGCACCATCGAATAACTATTATTTGTAAAGCATCTGCTTCCCAGTTTTGAATGACACTGAACGCATATTTAAAAATGTTTAGATCTGTGAAACGTTCAAACTGTGTGATGTCGTGGAACGCCTGGGACATTTCGACAACATTGTTCCCAGTCTTGCAAAATGATGTATTCTGATGAAACAACATGGCATCGCGGTGGAAAATACCTCTTGAAAACCTCTGGAAATGGCATTCCCGAGACTCTAAATAGTCCAGTTTTGAATTAAAAATTACCGCTGAATATAAACATTAATGACACATTTATACAGGGTTAGCCTCCACGTAAAGAAAAATATTCAGAAATTGGCAAGCAAGTGTTTGAAATTTGAATATACACAATAGACAGAGTAATAAATAGGTCTTTTTCTCATTGGAATTTGTGAATATATTACTTCAGATTGAGGCTAAGGCTGTAAAAAATGCGTCTTCACTTCTTTAATTCAGCGGTCATAGCGAACTCGAAAATGGACTATTTCAAAAATGTCCTAGATGTCTTGGCCGTCAAGCACTTGTGCCTTTGGTGCGAGGTCCAAAGTCACCTACTATTCAGTAGCAGCCTGCTACTTAAAAACTTTTTGACAGCCCTGGTTGGGTGATTTGGCTTGAGTAAAAAATAATACTCCATCTCAACAGTTCTTTTTCTTACCTGTGTCCTAAGAAGCCATATCTTGTGGGCCGTCCTCTTTTCTGTGGTTTCCGACAAGAAAAAACAAAAAAAAAGGCATTTACCTTCATCTCACAACAACAATCACATATCACTGACAGAAAAAAAATTGCATGACGAAGAAGAGCAGAATTCTTCTGGATAACCAGGATCAGTGTTTCAATCTAGGCACGTAGTGTAACTCATTTTACAGTGAAATAAAGAAGTACTCCCCAAGCTAGGGGTTTATTCATATGTGAAACACATACTTGCTCCAATTTTAGTGACCTAGACTTCTAAAATTAATCATTTTGCTTTCACAAAACAGGTCCATTTTAAGCAATCAATAACCATTAAAATACATGTAATTTTTTCAATGATGGACAGGGTTCTCATTAAGCACCAGCAGCTGGCTAAAAAAACGGCTACTTGGAGGTTTGAGCTGTCTACTTTTTGGGGAAAAAGGGTAAAGTGAGAGAGTGATAGCTTGAAATTACCTACAGCACTCAGTTACCAAACCACCTACCTTCACATCCTAGCTGTCTACTTTAAACCTTAATGAGAACCCTGGGTGGAGTAGGGAGGTACCACATGTAGGCCACACATAATAATAAACACTCAGTATATTGATCAATATTTTCATAATGCAACTTTCAAGGTGCCCTGAGTGAACGTTTACATTGTACAAGGCACACATCACAGATAAGATGAGTTCTTATTTGAAGTACACTAGCTGTAGTTTACATGAACAGTGTTCTCACAAGGATTTTGCCTGGGCGGGACTCCCAGGGCCCCCTCTGTTGAGAAACAGGGGCCCTGTAAGAACATTAGGGGGACAAAGGTATAACCTAAGCCCCCACTCCAAATGATCTGTTACGTGAAGAACCTACCTGATCCAATATGGCAGACAGGGTGTTTTTGGTTCGATAACGATGTATATGCACGAATCTTCGCAATGTACATGGGACCAATGAAAATTTTAAGACTTTGAAATGTTTTGATATCATGTTTTTTTATTCATACGACCAAGCCAAATGCTGGGGTGTTACAGTGTAGGTTCACCATTAAAACTACTTAACTGTAGATGTTCAAAAGTCTGTTTGACTTGTAGCATGCCCCTGCACCCTAGAGGGTGCATCTTCTTCTTCTTTATGCGCCATCTAAGCTAGATTTCCTTATGGGAATCCTACAAGGCCATGGCCTGGTGAGAACACTGCATGAAATCAAAATCCAATCACTTACATAAAATGGCTTGCTAGCAATTCCAAAGAAAGACCCAACCTTTGGATTACTGGGAGGCAACATTGAGGAATTTGTTTTCATGCTGTGGTGTCCAGCATTCTCGGTGACACCATTAGGTAAAGACAAGAGTATTCTCAAACTTGTGAGGTGTTGGCTTCTGTCCAAAATCTCAATGGCCTGATCAAGGTCTGCCTGGCTTAAAATAGGAATTGCATTTGCAATCTGTAAAAGAAAAACATGATGTATCATTAATAATTAACCCAGTCCTCCCAACAATAACAGCTTACACTACAGTGGACAAATTTGTCTCCCATTTTTGCCTTCTGATGTTGCAGCTTCTGTTAACTTGAAACAGTTGCGACATCATAATTACTGAGACTGCACTTTGATTACAATACTGAATGAAACATATTTCCAACCAATCAGAAGCACTCAATAACCAGATCTGGGTAGTGGCACATCATCAGTATGGAATTTCTGCACTTGTTTCTCAGATGTCACTTCAGTGTCACTTCACCTCAGTGTTGTCATGAAATGTTGGCTTTTTTCTCAGGTTATCCATCCAGGGTGCAAAGACAAACATTAACAGATTCAGCAATAATCATGGTGATGATGAATATGTGAGACCATTGAAAGGCAATAGTTAATAAGCAAAAAAACATCACTGCATACACACCACTCTTTCTGGTACACGTCCTGCACCCAATACACCACAAAATGTACATATTATTTGCAAAAATAATACAACTGTGTGCTCCCTAAGAATTTGACTCATTAGGAATATTCACCTACAACACTACAAGTGGGATTTAAATAGAGTTCAAAGTTTGAAGCAGTGCTTCTTCAATTTATTAAAGCCTGAAAGGTGAACAGCGCCGCAGGCCACTATAAGCATCCCACTTTACATTAACCAAAACTTGGTCTAATTGTATAAATAGACAAAGAGCTTGTTGGTATCATAAAATTAATGATGTCACTTACAATAATATATTATGTAATACAATACTGCGTTTAAAAAATTCGACTGATCATCAATGAGAATACCATAAAATTCTGAAAATAAGCCCCAGGGCTTATATTTTTCAAAGGCCCTTTTTGAGGGACTTATCTTTGGAAGGAAATTTGCACTTCAAAATTGATTGGGCTAGTCTTATAGTTGGAAGGAAATTTACTAATTTTGGTTTGTTTTACTTTGTATTTGAAGGCAATTTCCAAGTACAAGCCCCCAGGGGCTTATATTTGGAGGGGCAATTTAACGGAGGGGTTTTGCGTTACGAGTTGGAGGGGCTAATATTATATTTGGAGGGGCTTATACATGGAGGGGCTTATTTTCAGAATTTTACGGTAACCCATCACATAGTTGTTCATCACCTGTTGTGCAGTTACTACACATTGTGTGTCACAATTACTTTCCAAAAACTACCGGAGTATACATGCCATTATTAGTTCATAAAATTTACTGTGAGTAACATGTACAATCTGTACCTCATTTCCAACATAGTTCATAGTCAACTCCTGTCCATAAGCCGTCTTCACCTTTACAAGCAGCTCTGACAAAATAACAGGCCTTGGAATTGGGATTATCCTAAGGAAATTAGAAAGAGGATAAATTACCTTAAACAGTGTACTAATTTATTAAAAGAAATATCAATTACAGTTATTTAAATCACATCAGACTCATGGTAATGAAATTAACGGTGGATTCATATTTGTTGCATATGCATAATTATTAAGCTATTGCATCTGCCAGTTGGAATTTTTTACTGTCCTTAAGCTCAAAGATGGCTGGCAAGCAGTGGACAAAAATAATACTCCAGCTACAGTACACATGTATTCTGCAAGTATTAATTGCCACCGAAAATAATGATTTTTGCAATGCTGACAGGGCACCCATTAGATAAACCTTGGAAATACAGACGAAAAATAAGCTGGTAAAACAATACCAATAAAAAATTATGATTTACATGTATCAGCATAATAATATTATTGTATTACTGATAGAACATGCAAAAGTTGACAACATTGTAATAGACTTGAGAAAAGGAAACAGGACAAAAACAAAAACAAAAACAAAACAAAATAGACCTCACTGACAAAAAAAGGCACGAAACCAAAACAACGGAACACACTGGGTTGGCAATGAAGCAACAAATTCATTAAAACAACTTGATGACGAATTAATAGTATATAATTATGGTGTACTTGCTAAAAATGATATTGTCCAAAGACAAACAAATGAATGAACAGACTTGCCCATGGACAATTAAGTCAATACAGTTGTAGATTTTAGAAAAAAAAGTAGATTACATAATTAATAATTATTATTATAAAAGTCCCCTCAAAAAAGCACAAGGGCTCAAAGTGGTGGGGAAAACCCCTGCCCTTGGGGTTGCCCTTGGCACCTAGAAGAGTTCACATTTTCAAACATTCACATGACTGAAAAAATAAACAAATAGAATAAATCATAATGCATCCTCACCTTTTCTCTCCTCGAAATTCAAATTTGATGCGCACTGTATTTGACTGCAATAAGTAATAATTTTTCACATTAACATTAACTAATTTTCATGTAAATGCAAAAGCCATGCAATCCTCTTCAATTTCACTACCTGTAATAGCAAAATTCTACCCTTCTAATCCTCACATGCATGCAAAAAAATGACATGAAGAGTGAACGTTAAAACTACATGCACTGAAGGTGCGAACAACTTTCAACTGACAGCTCCGTCAAACTAAACGGCTCAAAATAATGTTTGAGAAGATTAAAAGATAATGATCGACTTTGTAAAAATCACATGACAAACAAGAGATTGGTCATGAATGAGTCATACAAACATTGGAGGAATGAAATGCATCACTCATGGCCAATTTTCAAGTTCAAAATATTATTGTTAACATACAAAACCACTGTTACAATTATTGTAACAGGGATTTTGTGGTGATGTCACTGGTACAATTATTGTACCAGTGACATCACTACATTGGTTCCTCAAAGAGAAAAATTAATGCTCCATTTACTTTGACCCACTTGCCACCAGAGATTTTTCCCCTTTTTTTACTTTGCTGGGCATCAAGGATAATGGTCGGCAGGAATGCTTTTTAAGGATTTACCACTCAGGGTAGTGGAAAAGATTTTCTGCATAATTTCCCTAGTACATGTATGTTTGACTGAATAGCACTTGATCTCTTCCCTTTGCACAAACTAGATGGGGCATCCAAGTTGTTTATGACTATTAAAACTGACTGATGGATCACAAGTGGTGCAAGAAAGAATGATGTGGCTGTGCACAGGCAGTTACGAGCTGAAGTGTGCATGAATGTGCCAGCTCTTAAGTGATTCCCCACCTGAACTGCCCTTAACTGCCTGTGCAGATCTACTTCCCACTTCCCTTCTATCACATGTGGCATCATCAGTTTTGACCATCAAGGACAACATTACTTTGTCATTCAACTTGACTTGTAAAGGGGGAAGAGATTCTTTCAAAACACGCTAAAACTAGCACGATTCAGTCAAGGAGGCTGGAGAAAAGGCTAAAAACCATCATAAATTGACCCAAATGATTCTCATGAAAATCTTGTTCCACTATCCACCTACATTGTCTTTCATCTATATAAATAAAGCTAATCCTAAGATCCTAATAAAAGCTAAAGTTGCCAAAAACTTCTCCCACTGAAATGAAGCCTAGTTAATGCCCAGCAAAAGAAAAAAAGAGAAAGAAGAGGGGGAAAAAAGTGGAAAGTAAAAGTCGAGTCTTCTGTGTCACTATTAAACCCAAAACTATCTCAAATTTGCTTTCTGCACATGCCTGAACTTTGGAAGATGATATTTTGCATAAATATGGTACAGAAGGCAGTGAATTGACTTCTTAACCCCATTTTGGCTCATTATAGCCAGACACAGTGACCAGGAAATAAGCTCAACTAGTTTCAAAAGGTGATTTTGTAAAATTCATAGCAAATTGGTAAACCTGTAACTGACATTAATCCTACATGCACACTGTACAGTAAAGGAAATGATGACAAAAGATAAATTTAAAACAAATTAGAAGTATTAGTGAAACAAGAAAATATATGGAGGAAGGTGTTAAGAATAATGTACACATGTACATTGTATGTGACTGAAATGCTGACAAATGTCAGTAAGAGTGAAAAGAGAAATCCCATAGTCAAGAAGCTCTCTCTAAAGGACTTCAACCTTCAATACCGATAAAAAGTTACTTAACACCCTCTCTCTCGCAAGACGCAAATCACAACATGTGCTATGCAATTCTCGTTGCATGCAACACAATTCCTGGAATGCAGAATGCAATTCTCGTAGGGCATGATATGCCATAAAAACTGTAAGTGTCATGGCTAAAGTTCTTGCACCATTTTAACAATCCATTGTGAACCTTTTTGGTGACTAACACACAAAGAAGTCAAATTTAAGAATTGCAAGCTGTAGCTACATGTATGTGATTCTTTGCCGCATGACAAGAGTCGCATACCGCTGTTCATGAAACATAAAGAACGGCCGAGTAGTACTGCAAAAAAATTAAACAGGGACACCTCTCTGAGATGAACACTAATGACCGGCTGCCATAAAGACATAATTCTTTACTGCTCTTATACAAGAAGCTATGAATGTTTCAGAGGTCAAACTTCACGTGTGCCAAATCTAATGCCTAATAAATTATAAGAAAAAATTATACAGTTTCTCAGTTAATTAGCACTGCTTTGGCCCAAACAGAGGTTTGACATCTCAAACAAAAATCTCCAACCTTATTTTCTAGCATCATAAAATTGTTGTGCAGCCTGTGTGTCTGCGATCTTGATGAATCACTCCCAGGACTTAGATACCCACTTTCAAGATCATCATCTGAAGGAAAAGTAGTGATCAACTAAAAATTAACAACAAATCCTAAACTTCACTTATTGGTGTTTCTATAAGGCCCTAAAAACATGAAATTATTGGAATTAAGGTAGCTTGTACAAGTTTTCTCAATGGGAAGTCCATTGTCCACACTCCAATTTGTACGTGCGAAATACAGAAAACAAATATGGCAGCGTGCGGCTGTTTTTGTGCAAGTTTTAATACTTTCATAAGTAGGTTGAGTATGATCATCCGGGAGAACGTAGTCCTGAATAGGACTGTTGTTAGTGACAGTGACTGACGTTTCGACAACCTGTGCAGTAGTCATCTTCAGAGTAAAGGTGTGTTGTATCAGGTCAGTTGATGATATTAAACTCTGGTTATTGACCTGATTGCTCAATTAAGTTGATGTTATTGGTCATCTGTCAGTTAAGCTGTGAAATTTGGATGCATACATTTAAATGTACCACTGTTCAACATGTTGAGTCCAAAAATTAATCGGTGTGATCATTGAGTACAATTATTTTGTATGCAATAGCTTTTAAACATTTGCCTAATTTTACAATAATTTTTATGTGTCTACTTCTATTTCATATCAGTTCTATTTCCAAAAATTACTAATCAAAAAGGTACAGTTAAGCTGTAATTAAATAAAATAATTCAGAGGGAAAAACATACAGCCCAGACATCACATGGTTAAATTCTTTGTTCTCAGAAATAACTCTGAACCCACATAATATTATACAGTTTCTTATCCTGAGAAAAATAGAGTCTATTTTGAGCCTTGGAGTTGGGGGGGGGGGTTAATCTCAGCTGAGAAAAGGTGATTGTTTTATAGGGATCAAGGATTAGAAGAGACTAAATTTTAAAAGAAAAAAATTATTTAAATTTCTGAACGGAAGTTGTTCAGCTCTGCTTTAATTAAAAAGAAGAGAGTAAGTTGAGCGTATACTATTACCATTGACCTTTGGGAAGCAAATTTTTACTCTCTCATGAATAAATGCTGTCAGAATATGCTAGCAAAGTTGTGTCAGCCTGCTGTACCCCATATTACACGAATATCTATTTTATCATTGATACATATGGTTGTCGAATCGGTTGTTTAGAATTTTGTCTTAATATGCTGCCAAAGTCTTCCATCGCGTGCCAAAAAAACCCTTTAGCCCTCAATCTCCATGTAAATAATCATTCGTGCCAGAATCCCAATGGCATAAAATTTTTAGACAAATTATTATAATTTGCTTGCCGAGAACAACTCACCTATAAGAAACGTTTTTGCCTAATATGGAAGCAAAATCCTCGCTCCGGAACAGAATTTTTTAATCGAAGTCACAAAGATCTGTCGAGTGGTGATTTCTCTTGTGTTTACACAGTCTATACAAACAACGATAGAAATGCATTGGTGCAACTTAAAGAAACAGAACATTCCAGTTTAAAAGCTTTTCAATCTTGAGCTCCAAATACATGTACTGTTATTTACAGCGTAGCAGAAGACAAAACGTCGATCGCACGTTTATACATGTATAGAATCAGAGGGCATAAAGAAATAAAAATTGCTCCTGTTTCGACATTTTAGGATTAATCTCTGTGATCTCATAAGAGAACATGTACATGTTTAGAACTAGCCATTTTATTCCTTCAAGAGCTAAAGTCTTACGCCAAACTGTGAGAAATCACTTAATAAGAAAAGCACTCTGCGGGCAGCTCCATTCATTATAAATTTGCTGCACATTCGATCGCCGTTGACAAAATAAAAATATTGTACATTTGACAACAATGATTTCTAAATTTTCCATTTTTTTTTACCACAGTACATACGTACAAGCAAAAACAGCGATCGATCAGAGTAGTTTAATTTGTGTAAGCGGTTTTTAATAATAAGCTTAAGACTAATTTGGACCTTTGCAAAAAAAAAAAAAAAAATAGAAATTTCGACATGCATATATTCTAGCTACGTGGAGGAAGCGTGCAGATATTATATCGAGAAACTACAAATGTCTGCTACTGCTGTTGGAAATAAATGTCACAACATCAAAACCCAAAACGTTTCCTGTTAAAAATACAGAACATGTGAGGATATTTTTATGTTGAGGTCTGTAAGACGGCTTAAATTTGGCAGGATCAAGTAAATTTTTTCCTCACATTCAAAACGGAAATCATAAATGCAACACGCGCAAGAATCTGTGAATTGAATCGCCGCGTTTTTAATATCAGAGAGAGTGAGAGACAAGATCATTACATGGCTGGCTGCGGAAAGGACAGAACGGTCAGAAGTTTCTTCTTCCAAAGGGTTAAAAATTATAGTTGAAATTTCAGACAGAAGGTTAAGCTTTCATTCAATCAAATGGTTTAGGTTAATGTCTTCCCGCATGTCTTAAAATTAAAACATTCGCCGTAATTTCTATAAGTCACACAATTGTCAGACACTCACCCATCTCAAAACGACCTTTCCCACTGCGACTGTAGTTTATTCGCAGTAAACTTCCCGATGTTTTCAAGACGTTCGGCACACTTCACTGCACATAAGCTCGCAATCTACTTCATTGGATATAATATTCTTCTCAACTTGTCCGGTATCTGCTATATCCTGTATGCGTGAGCAAATTCACAATTCGAAGTAAGCGCTGTAATTGATAGTTTTTCTCCTATTCTTTCGAAGATAAAAGATATTGTTCAGAATTTTGCAGCGAGATATTTTTAAGATCACTTCACAAAAGTATACACAAACCGAAAATGAAAATCATACCTTTCCAGACAAACAACAGGAGAAAGATGTGTAGACCTTGCTAGACGTTTTCAAAAGCGACACATAAGTACTTTTAGGAGCGAAAGGTCAAAAAATTCCGTACTTCAAGTCTTCAAGGCCGCAATCAGCAGATAAGAACATTGTGTCCAAGTAATTGCTGTCGGCAATAATACAAGGAATCCTTAGCTTTACCGTGGGAAAACATAGTCGCCTTGGTCGCGCTGAATATTCAAGACTGTCGGATCGGAGAAATCGAACACGCACTCGTGCCAGTCTCTGTCAGTCAGGTCTTCGGGCGGATCTCGTCAATGGATCGTATTAGTCCGGAAGATTCTCGGGCAGATCCCAGAGATCACTAGCTACAACCTACAGGACACTACTTCCAAGGGCTGATAGCTGGGGCAAAGGAAAGTCTAAACGGGCGGGAAAAAATTGCGCGAAGAAAAGTAAAGAAGCTCTTTTAGTCTTCCTCTCGTTTTTAAATTTCCTTCAAGCCATTTTTGACATTTTTTCCCGCCCGTTTAGACTTTCCCTCGCCCCCACTATCTGTCCCTGGGTCTCCGATGATGATAAACTTCATGAGGGGCTTTAGAAAGGAGCTTATATCCGAGGGGGTTTCATGAACTGTAATAGTAAAAGCGCTTCGAAACAAGCTACAGCAGTGTTGATCAATCAATCAAGGGTAAATCGTTTCAACGATTAAAGAATTTAAAAGACAGATCGGATAACCTAGTAATGCAACCATGATGAAGCAAAAAATAAAATCGCGAATTGCTAAGCCTTAGCTTCTTCACAACCTGCATTACACAGATTTGTCTTTCTTGCTTTACGCCGATAATCAAATGGCCATACATCAGTTCGGAAGCCACATGGAAAACTAGGAGAAATACATAACTTAAGCGAGGTTAGCAGATTTTTATTTAAATCCTTTCACATTCGTATATATTTTACAGACTGCCGATGGGCTCCTGACAGAAACAATTGTTTTTCTCCCATACAAACCCTTATATTTTGAACGTTACGCAGGAGAACCGTTTGTAGTATTTCGAACGTGGGTGACCTGTGCTTGATGAAGAGGTGGAGGGTGTCTATCTAGTCTGGATCCCTTGATGAGGGTGTGAATCTCGTTATGTATGGTGATATGTGTATCAGTGAAAGTCTTAAACACTGGCTGTAAAAATAGGTCTCTCGTCAGGCTAGCGTAAAGGATGTTATCAAACAGCTGGTTCAGGGTTTGAACACGTTTGAAGGCCACAAAAGGAGTTAAGATACGTTTTGTTCAACTACATTCACCTTTTGGCGGCATTATCAGAGGAAACCGCAAGCCTTCCCTCCCCACTCCCCCTAAACAAGCTCAGGTGATCTGTGAGGGACGTAGTCTGTTTTTAAACTTTCGCTTATCAACGTTCATCACGTTGGAGTAGACATGCGGGCTTTTTAGATTTCCTTATTGCAAGGGCAGCCTAGTCCCTAGGCGTTCTCTCTTGATCTGTTGTCCGCGCTAGGGAGACGTCACAGCTCATGGTAGAGTCCAGGAATGACCGAGCCGAAAACGCCTGGGGACTAGGTTGTTGCAAGGGATTTTCTTCGTTGCAAGTAAATGACCTCAGTCGTTTTTTTTCCCCTTTTTCTTCGAGAAATCACTAATTAAATCCCTGCTTTTTTTTTTCATTCGCGCGCTGGACGGTCTCAAAAGAGAAGATAGACTATGAACAGGCTTTGTTTGAATTAGTAGTCTGCTGTGATAGGCTAAGAGGTTTTTGGCGCTCAGAATGAATTCACAAATAAGTTGAAAGCAACAAAACAACAAAAAAACTTTATTAATAAACAAATAAAATTACAAAAGTATTGCCAGCAGTTAGCAAGGCTATTCGAGGCGGGACAATGCGTGCAAAATATAAGAAATAAAGGCTAAGGCTATTAACTAAGGAAAGTTTACAGTTAGTTACAAATAAATGAAATAGAAATCGTAATATGGATGTGGACTAGATAACGGACTAAAGGAAAAAGAATTAAACAAATAAATTGTAATAGTAGAAACTAATAAGCAAGAATTTTTTTTTCGACATTTTTGGCTAATTTTACCTTTTTAATTAAGGTGGGCGTATCAATATTCTGAATTCAGAATATCAAAAAGTAATTTGCGGAGTGTTTTTTCGAACTTATTCTTTGGGAGTTGCAGTTTATATAATCAATGTCTAGATCGGATCTGTTAACATAAAAATTTCCTGAAGCCGATGCTGTTGTATTGTAGTAGTGGCAGCTAATTCTTGAAATAGATTTAAAATGCCAGAAGGTACCATCATATTGTTATGGACATCATGCATAAGATTTGATATAACAACACTGCCACACCTGGGTTGAGAAAAGGCCCCTGAAGCAATACGTCACCATAACTAAGGGCCCCTTTTGATTTCACCACGAAGTCCTTTCCTTTAAGCCAATTTTATGACGCCCGCGGTTAACGAGGCGGCAGTCTGGCCGAAGTGGTGGTCTGAGAAACTTCCTACCCACCCCTCCCTAATCCAAATATCTACCCTAAGTGAGTAAATGCTAACCGACAATGAATAAACTGTTCCAAAATTCTTATATATTAAGTGGTGAATCGTACAATAATTTCACGATATCTGTATTATGCATCGAGTGCGGTCATGTTTAACTGAATCGATTTAGTTTAAAGAAAATTATGTACAATAATTTATGCTATGTACCTACTGGTGCTCCAACTATATGTAAAATACCAAACTGCTAAAAAATTGGTTGTAGGCTAACATGAAATTGATTCACAAATAATAATTTATACCAAGTAAAAGCCGGATGCGGTCTGAATCGATCTGAAACTTGAACTACGATACGTTGCTAAATCAGTACGTTTACAATGCAAACTAGCGCGCACTTACGCACAATTGAGTTAAGATCAGATATTCAGTGGAGTACCAAGCTCGAAATATGAGCATCGACACCGAGTTAAAACTCAGTTCGAAAATATAAAGATCTTTAAGAGGAAAACAATTCAATGACTGTTCCTGAAACCTACAAATAATATGACCGAGATATGAATTTAAAAAAATAAACACCCATGGCGATTTATGGGTTTGAATGCATCGACTGAGCAAACCGGATCTACTGAAACCAAGAAAATGGCCATAAATCGGTTCGGCGAAAACACGCAAAGAATAAGAAGCACACAACTTCTGTAGGGTAAGTCGTTTTTAATATAAATCTCTTTGATATATTTAGTTTTCGTAAACAATCATTTTTCCCAATAAAAAATCCTTCTTTATAGCTTTAATTCCTGCTGAAGGATAGACCTGTGCCCACGCTCATCATATTTCAAGCTTGGGCTACCTGTGGTATTAATATTCAGCTGTAGTGAGTATTTTATCTAATTTGACGCTATGCCTCTGGGCTTCTTAGTAATAACTAGATAAGCACTCAAAAGTGATTAGGTATTCGGGATAACACTGGTCATCTTGGAATACCACAAAGACAGTCGGATCATCAGTAGAGTTCACGACTGAGTCATAGAGAAGTTCGCCTTTGTTGGGGTCTATCGGAGGTGGTGTCTTCATACATTCTTTTCCAGTTGCATACTTGCCAGATAGTACCTTTGCGAGAAACATGCAGCATTCACCTTTAGAGTTCGGCGGCTTTGAGAATGAGAGAGAGTAAGAAGCTTCGGTTGCAAAATACACGCCTTCTCCATAACTAACTCCTATAAGAAATAGAATGAACTTGTACTCAGTAAAAATGAAATGTTCGTGCGTAAGAAAATTTTGGTAGACCGTTAGTATGAATGACATTTTGATGCAGCTTCTTTAGTTAAAAACCATATCGAGATCTCCCGGCATCACATCGAGATTTCCTTTGTTTGAAAGACACAGCTCTCAACTCCATGGATAATTCGACCACCCAGGTACCTATATCTCTCTGGCCTTAAACAAAACCCAATGAAACAAGTAGTAGGAAAAAATATCACTCTTTAACAAGATTTTTTCGAATGAGCGTCAATAGGCAACTTGCACTAAGAGGTCAAGTGACCAATGCTTCCTTTAACCCTTTAAGCCCCTAAGATCAAAATTTGAATTCTCATTTGTTGCTGCTATTCATTTCCTGCAGAAGTAAAGGCGAGAAGTTGATAAAATATCAAGGAAATTCATCTTGTGTGATCATGTCCGTAATTCTCATGACCACTCTGTTTTACAAAGCATTGATATTACAAGGACAAATTTGATGCTGATCACTCTTGGAGCTTAAAGGGTTAAACAATGGGTTGGAATCTTGTTGATGCCAAAAATTGACAGAGCATATAATAATTATCTTACACCCGAAATTTGAGAGGAAAAGTATTTAAGGGAGATATTTTGTGGTTCTTTGATCTTTCAACTAAGTAGTATCAGTTGTATTGGCCGCCATGTTGGAGGGCATACTCTTGCCCTCCAACATGGCGGCCAAAACTACTTTTTGCTTAGATCTTGTTAAAAGTTTGATAGTTACGCTCAGATGTGCTGTAAACGTTCCCACATCAACTTTTCAACATTTTCCTTGAAGTCTAAGTGCAAAATTTGTGTTTAGAAATAGGTAATTCATAATTTTAAAATCACATTTTGGTCACGTGACCAGCAAAGAACTTAATCATTTTAAGAAAATGGTGCAGGTTTGAAAAACCTAATCACTATTATTTTGTTAGAGATATGACCCACTAATCGTTTTTACAAAGAAAAATCATATAACTTTCATTTTTATAAAAACGATGTCACCTGTCCTCTTAGTGCAAATGGCCTATCCAGAACCAAAATACCATAAATTCTCTATTAAGCCCCCCTCCCTATTAAATCTCCCACTTTATTGTTATTACACCCCTCTTCCCTACCCCTTTGATATCAAATAGAAGAATGTACTTCTTAATCACAACTCTAAAACTTCATGTTGAATGATCCGATATGGAATTTATTCACAAGCTTGAAGCCTAAATTTGTTCAACGATCTTCGATTTCATGACCTCCAACTTTATGTTCCTGAGCTTTTCCCCTTTACATTCAGGTTTTTATAGAGAAATGACCGGATACCATCATCTTCACTAAATTAAGTAATGATCCGGGTAAGGTGGATAGCAATTTCTTTTGTTATGCGGCAACAGTGCTTTCTCCAAATAGGAATGTTCTCATTTTTACACAGAGAATGCATAAACCTACATGAAGACCGTTTACTTAATAAAATGCATTTACACTCCACTTTGAAAGGGTGTTTTTTTGTGTTAAAAGATTTTGACCAATCACAAGAGTTGAAAACAATAGCCAAGAAAAGTTTACAATTTTACATGTTCCCCACATAGGATTTCTTTGTTACTCAAACTGAGACCAGATTTTGTTATATGGAAGATGGTTGGAGAGTAAGGATGAATATATGTACTGCTTTATGAAGTTTTGTTAACGCTTGCTGTTTAAGCCAGTCAGAAGTAAGTACAGACAATGGAAAAGTTAGCACCTTTTTTGCAATCCAACATGTTCGTTGCCGTTGTTGCTATCGTTCTTATCTGGACCGTTTCTTAATTAAACAACACTTTTAATTAAGTTTCCCCCGAAACGTGCTTGCATTACCCCTTGGGGGCTTAATGTTTTGTTTTTTCATTCGACTGCTTGCATCAGCGCTGTCTCCCTTAATTTGAACAAATACCTTTATGTCTTTCAGATGCTTCTCATTCACTTTTCTTTTAGCTGATGTACTCCTATTTTCTTCAGAAACATCTCAAATCGCAAGTGATTGTAGCAGCATCGCATATGACGTACTCTTAGTCCAGTCATAGCCCACAAACTTTATACACATTAGCCATAATTGTCAATTCAACAGTTTCTGTGGTTCTTTCTTCCAAACCCTAGCATTACTTTTTGTATGACAGACAGACATGAACTCTTTACTTTACAGTCTAACGCTAGAATAGAATATTATACAATTTTTTTAGAAAGTAATAAATCTAATTACAAAGAAACAAAAGGGGAAAAAAAGAGAGAAACCTAAGAGGTTGCTGCCTTTGAGCCTTAGTTCAAGTTATTTTTCTCAAGGGCAGTGTTTGAAGGGAGCCCATTTCTCCCTAAGGAAGCCTACGTTAATGTTATCGAAAGCTACCTATTTTTAAGGAGGAACTGGTGTAGTCTTACCATTACTTCCACAGAAGCTCCGGTTAAATCCGTGAGCACAGATGTCCTTCACATTGTGATATCCTGTTCCATGAAACAGATAACTTTCGTTTTTGTGGTTTCCATTCTTCTCTGCCATACTTTGCTTTTTCATCGTATAGGAACGGTATATTGGTGGGTTCTGGACCCTCTGAATACTTATGAGACTCACCTTTAAAACAAAGGGAAAAAATGGGGTGCAAAATTTAGGTCAATGATTTGAGAACGAATTCGCCCTTTGTATACCCTGAGAGTGCCGACAACTTTAAAACCTCGCAAATCACCGACTGACCAGGACTCTAATTTCAATGGCAGTATGGACTCAGTTAATACATACCTTTTCGTTCGCCAAAGATTGCATAAACATGCGCTCAACTCCCTGGTACTCGGACGACTTTTCCTCAAGAAGGACTAGATGAAGCCTCTTTTCCCGTCCTTTTTGATCCAGGGGATGGCTATCCCACTCAGGGGGAAGGGGAATAACTAAATCAAAGAAAAGAAAGTGCATTTTCCTATGACTGTTTACATTGACAAACATAATTTCACCTTTCATGGACACGTTACCTATAGCACAGACTTCTGCAGGGCCGAACAACGTAATGTGCCATTCGATGACTGTAGTTCAACGAAAAAGTTCGAACTTGTAAAAGTTACTTGATTCACTGTGATTTAATCTTAATATCATTTTTTTAATTTACGAAGAGATTTTATTTTCTTTAGATTCTTGATTTATTCAACATTTGTTTACCGAAAACAGACCTTTGCTTAGGGCCCGGGAACGGAGCTCACAGACATATACAAACTGTAAAATCTATAACCTAATAACACTTGCCTTCTTTCCGAAAGATCTTCTTTACTGCCCCCGTTTTCAGAAACTTGACTTGGTGAAGGTCAAATATAATTTCAGCCTTTAAATGTTTATGCGTGAAAGAGACAGAAGGTTGCTTGGACTGAGACGCTGTTTCTATGTCATAATTCGCCATCATTTCAAATGGTTCGTGTTTCCCACTTACACTCAGGTAACACCACTGAACATTTCGCGACGTCATTTGAGCGCGTTCCAGTTGATGTTCCTCCTTAATCTGATCTTGAACCACTTTGAAAACTTCTCCGTGCATTTTCAGGACATCAGATGGAAATCCTTTTAAGGCGATAGTCCCTGGTCGGGAAAAATCAAGACTAACATCTTCCTCACGCCCCTTTCGCCTCAATTCCTTGATGCACCGTTTTGGTAAACGGTGTATGGCATCTTCGCTGAAGTCAACAGATTGACATTCTTTATTTACACCGGCCTCTAGAGCCACTATGGCATCTTCACAAACCTCGTGTCGTCGATACACCACCACCTTGTGTCGACAGCCCTCTATTATTCTTTTAGTTCCGACTGCCTCTTCTTCTTTATCGCCTTGAGCCGGGGAGCTGTAGCTTTTACTGGACTCGGAAGTCATCTGTTGGAGGGTACAAGCAAACGCCTCTTCTACTGACTCATCATCGAGGACAACAACTCTTATTTCTCGAACAGTGATGGGAGGGCCCACTGTCATCAAGAAGGAGTAGATTGAACCCAAAACCACTTCTGCCGATTCTTGTGAACTTAAGCCTAGCCCACCGATACCAATCGCAGGAATAGAAATCGACTTCAATTCCATGGAATGGACTTCCTGAAGAGCTGATTGGACACAAGCTTGGAGGTGTTGTTTGTTTCCTGATTGTACGACCATGTGAACAATCCATTTGGCTGGCAAGTGTCCAGCAGAAGTTCTCAAAACCGTTTTAGACACTTGGGATATAAACGCTGTCAGCTCCTCTTGGACCTCACTACCGCTGGCATCAGCTATGGCCGCACTCAACACACCGTTTTTCAGTTGAAGATCTTCGCCTATAACACTGATTATGCCCTCTGAGGACTCCTTGGTAATGTCTCCACGTGCTATTTCCACAGCTGTGTCACCTATATAGGCTCTCGTACATCTCGGTCCTGTTAGAGTCGGCGCTTCAACTTTGTTACAATGTAAGTGCCTGGTCAAGGGGTTTCCGGGAAGCACAAATCTTTCTCGTTCAGGGTCTTTCTTTATATCCCTAAATTTCTCCTCGAAGGCTAACAACCCAGATTTATCTTCCTTGTGTACAACGAATTTAACCTCTTCTATGGGTGAGTTGGGGTAACTTTTGCTGTGGCTGAGGGCTTCATCCACCATGACCTGAACGGCAATATCATACGGGAAACGGAGATTACCGGTACCAATGAGTGGTAAAGCAATGGAACACGACCCTAGCTCCAACGCTTTGTCAAAACACTTCCTTACCAACGTCTGAAGAATCTTTAAAAGGAAAAAAAAAAACAACAACAACAACAACAACAACTTAACGGGTCATTGAAAAGCTCCAAGAAATGATATGACAGTGAGTGCTACTGGTTTTAATGTAAAACTTAGCTAGTCTGACTTAAAACTAAAGAGGCCCTCTTTAGTTTTAAGTCAGACGACTTTCAACACTGTAAAAAGCAAAGTGTCGCGTCCATGCCGTTAAACCGTCTAAACACTATATGCTTCGTCCCAAAGGGTCTCTATATACAGACCGAAAAAAGTCGAAATCTCAAGGTTTTGCCCAAAGGATGCAAAACTGAAAAAGGCTTATTCTGTCACTCCTTTTAATTTTAATGGCAATACAACGAGATTAAAAGAAAATTAGTCTGACCTCATGTCATTCAAAAAAGTGTTAGTTCTTCAGGTTGCTCAACGCGCATGGTATCGCGGGAGGGATGCACTATTATGAGGTGAAAACTATAGGAAATATTTTGCTGGTAGTCAGAGTTCCTTACAAATTAATATTAATTTACAGCTTCTGCTAAAAATTAAGGAATTACATTTCTAAGACAACATTATTTTTGCTTGAACTGAAGACGAAAGTAGTAAAGGCTAAGTTAGTTTCAAATTTAGGTTTAGAAAGAAAAAAACCATGCTCTCATATATAAATTACAAATTTGTCTGTTAATTACTAAGTACGGAGCTAATTAAATGTCTTAAGCCTAAGTACATCATTGTTTATGCCACTCTACTTGGACGTCGAAAAAAACCATTAATAATCGATGATGTTAAAGAGCTTTGTATTATTCCTACCTCTTTTTCATCACTTAACCCTTCATCCCAAGGACAACACACACAGAACACCACGTGACGGCATGGCAAGTTTCCTACGCTCGACGTATGAACAATTCCCCCTGGTCTCATGATACTCGTTTCCTTAAGAAGCGCTTCTTTTAAAGCTGGACCAGCGGCCTTGCTCATGGCACGTGCTAGCGTTCCAATTGACAAATTCAAGTTTGAACCGACTGAGCAAACCAGCACATCCGCCTGTTTATGAAAGAAAAATAATTAACAATTATTCCTCTAGTCTGAATGGGCTCTGAATCAATAGCCCATGAAGCCGAAGGCCGAATGGGCTATTGACTCAGAAGCCATGCGGGCGAGAGGAATAATTGTTTTAGTAAAATCCAATTAGTTGGTCAAAAATATCGAGACAAACAACTTTAGCTAGCAAAACGCGATTCAGCCGCCATTGTTTTGGTTTTCAAAACCGCCACTTTTCGCTACTAGTGGGCTATAAGATATAACTTAGTAGTAGATCAACCAATCATAACGCAGCATTGATAATAGACCACTAGGACTTGATATCTAGCCTGCGCGCAGACGAAATTAAACTCTGGTTAACTCCGTCTGCGAAACAGCGCCGAAATCCTTGTTCTGGACTTCCAGCTGTGTCGCCAGATTTGAGTACGCACCACGATTGGCCAGTTAAAAAAGACCTTTGTTTTGTTTGTCGCAAGACTGATAATGAGCAATCAGGTTGAAGGGAAATTCGAAATGCACTTCCGGTAATTCATTGAGTCGGTTGGGGGTCCAGAACAAGGATCTCTGCGCTGCTTCGCAGACGGTACTAATCAGAGTTTAGTTATCGTCTGCACGCAGGCTACTTGATATCATGTGCCAAGGGAAACACGGTTAGTTTTGTTTTCCCGAGGGTCTTAATGTTTCGCGAGGGAAATTCGAGGGAACTATTAGTTTGTTCAGTGTAGAACTATTCGAGTTACGTCTCGTGTTTCAAACTAGACAAAACGCACTTCAGCGTGACAAAACGTACTTCAGTGTGACAAAACGCACTTCAGCGTGACAAAACGCACTTCAGCGTGTTCCCTTAAAAGTATGAAACGCGTCAGTCACGGTGCGTTTTCACCAGTCGTCACCATATCATATGAAAAGGCTCGTAGATTCCGTAAACAGAGAGACGGTTAATCGAAATCAATACCAAAAAAACGCATACCTCCTCTTCCTCTATTTTTCCTCTTTTGTAGATTATTCTCTTTCCCTCTAGAGTCCTAAATGTTTCATCATCTTCATCGAAGCCCTCGTTCTCGTTGTCCGTATCGAGGCTGGACATGTCATCGCTATCGACTTGTTCATCCAGATGTTCTTCGCAGACTTCTTCAATTTCGATGACACATTTGTTTTCCCGTTCCACAGTCCCGACAAGTTCACCTTTGTTTTTCGCCAAGAAACTCCTCATTCCTGGCAAGGAAATGTAGAAATGCTTTTCGATTATTTCGTCTTGAAAGGCCTTGAACTTGTCCTTGATCTCTTTTACACCTTCAGCTGTCCCCGTGAAGAATAAATCTCCACGTTCGTTGGACGTTACTTTGACTGAAAACTTCGAAAGGTCTTCTTCGAGTTTTGTTATTTCATGCTTGTGAAAGTCGTGGAATAATCTTTTATACGCCGGTGAATCGAATCTAAATTCACCTTCCGTTGCTTTCTTTTCATTTAAAATGTCTCTCATTTTCTTTAAAGCTTTTTCCACATCTTTTTGCATTCCAAATACGTGAAATTCCGTCAATCGTCTCTCACACCGAATTTTTAGGCTCTTTTCCAAATCACGACGAAGATTATCCCATTTCGAAGATAGCAGTAACTCGTTATCACTGTCTTTTAAGTCAAGCTTGCCAGTAACAAGTACCTTTCTGGCTAGTTCAAGGCCCTTCAGGGTATCTGAGAGAGTTCTCCCCAGAAAGAGAACTGCATTTTTTTTTTCGTCAACATTGAAGGCGCACCCTTCAGCTGTCGCGTCCTTTAATGCATCATTCAGCTTTCTTTTTCCGACTTTTGTCTTCAAAATTTCTATTATTTCTGGAGGACTTGAAAATGAATTTTGGTCGATTTCCTCTAGGCGTTTGCGAAGATAGGCTGTGGTTGAAAGCATATGATCTTTGGGAGTCTTCAAGAAAATACTTCTTTTGCTCAAATCGATTTCAGCTTTCACATCTTGATGGACATCTTTCTTAAGCATATGCTCTATTTCAGCATTCTTAAAAAGCTGAAGTTTTTCGTTGGGTATATCTGTCAAAGTTTTTTGTTCAAGTGTTTTATCCAGCTCTACTTGCGCGATTTCTGCAAGCCGACGTTGAACTTTTTCCTCAAACTTGGGCAAATCTTTTTTGAGGCAGATTAATCTTAACCCTTTCAAATCTTCAAACTTTTTTACTTGGGCAGAAAAACTTGGAAACATCATTTCAATTTGAGGAAGCTGGTCAATAACTGGCTCCCATATATCTTTATCGACTGGAATGTCTCTCACTGCGAAACGCTCCAGGAAGTTAGTTATAATCTCAAGACAACGTCTTTCCCATTCATCTTCATCAAAATCTCCATCTGGCTTCTGGCCTCTAGAGCTGTATTTGATAAGAACATACCCATCTCTGTTGGTCAAATTGATGTGTGCATGCTCACGGGATAGTCGGTCTTTGAGTTCTAAACCTTGATTACACTTGCTGGTCACATATTCGATAATATCCATATCCACATCCATGCGAAAATATGGGAGTTCAGTCACTAGCATCTCTGCGTCTGGGGCATATCGTGGCCCTTTATCGTCAACGGGTTCTACTGTACCCATAAAAGGGTAATACCTCTCCACGTGCAAGTGAACTTTATCAGCAAGGAAGTGATCCTTCTCTACGATGTTCTTCACACCTTTAGAAAAGAAGAAAGTCGATATTTAATCCGGGGGGTACTCCCTTATATGAGCTATATAGGTATGTGCAGCCCCACCGGGTAGGGTTTTTGCGCCGTTTTGGTCTGAAAATGGGTAAACACTTTGTCCATTTTGGTCTGGAATCGGGTATGGTTTTCTAGGCAACTACGAGAGTGTTTTACCGTACCTATCGTTTCAATTCCAAATGAGTAAGAAAGAAAGAGAAATATGCGAATTCGAAATGGATTTGAAGAATTTTTTTGCTTGCGCTCTTACCTAATAAGTAATGATAACATAATTTCTGCCTAAAGTCCAGGTCTGAAAGAGGTCCCGTCTGAAAACGGGTGTGGAAAATCTGAACACGTTTTGGTCTGAAATCGGGTCAGGGTTTGACGAACCTGGCGGCACACCCCCACCAAGAATTCCCAGGAGTACCCCCCGGTATTTAATTAAGATGAAAATGTACTCTGTATGTGGGTTGTATACACGAAAATGTTTGGCGCCATTTCAAAGCGGTTGACGATGCGGTAATACGGGCAACTTTTCGCGCACCATCAGTTGCAGCATGTTTAACTTAGTTTTATCACACGCGCAAGCAACTTGTCCCACACAGTATATCTTTAATTTTTCTTGCGCAAAGTAGAAGGTTCTTTTACTTTCTATGACAAGTTGCTGCTATATAATTAATTATTACGCAATAATTTAAGTGCACGGCTGGTAACAAGCCACATCGCGTTTTATATGCAACTCTGTATTGCTGCACTTTGGGTCAACTAAAGAAAAGTTATCCTGAAACGACGCATAAAGATCGATCGTGCAGTGATAGCAAAGGAATAAGCCAAAAGGTTTAACGCAAGAGCAAAATTACTGTTTTTAGTAGTATTAAAACCTTTGGCTTTTTTTGACGTTGGTGTTGCTGTCCCCGATCCTATAATTCATAATGACTCAGATGTAAACAAGCAATTAAAAGTCAAACGGTAGTGATCCAGTAACCCTCGGGAAGTGAGGTGATTACTTTCTAACATTTTCTTACATTTGCCCTTTTAAAGTCTGATATTACTTCCCTGTATGCCGAATTTCTGGAGTAAAGTTATGAAATGAAAGTTTTAATTCTCATCCACGATGTAAGGGCTAGACCGAATGACGAACTTTTCATGGTGCGAACCAAACTTAGTAAGTTAAGTTCATGAAAAGTTCGACGTATGGCTCTGTTAAGTTTCTCTAAATGAGTTTAGAGCGTCCAACACGTCCCGGCCAGCCGTCTACTTATCAGACGGATAGAACGTCCAATAAAGATCTCCGGGTGGGGCAAACGTCGATATTCACATACGACGAACCGAACTAATAAATTGAGAAATTTGTATGAAATGTATCTTTTAGCCTCGTTCGGGAGAAAAACTATTACTGAAAACCCGCTAGCTGGCTAGATTGCTTTTTGGTCTGATTCAAGAGTGGATTGGTTCGACACATCCTAAGTTCGATCTTTTAAAACTTAATATAGGTCGACCCAAATTAGAGTTTGGTTCGTCTCAGGAAAAGTTTGACGTTTCGGCCTAGGCCTAACCTCGGCTTTTTCCCTAGAAACACTATCACGATCGCCTGCCTTCACTTTACCGACATGTTTATAAAACAGTAGGAAAGAGGTTAGTATGAAGAAATTAAAAAAAATCTTACTTTTCTCTTTCTTGAAATACAAGATCGCTCTTTGCTCTTTCGCTTTGACCTCTGTTGTGTTAGACACCAACTTTTCCACCACACCAAACTTATCAAAATACTTTTCAATAGTCTCTTGGGGAGTGTCCTCTGGAATTCCTTTCACGAAGATGCTCTTGCACACCGGTGCTCTTTCAATTAACACGAACTCATAGTCCAGCTTCCTATTCTTAGCCTCTTCGCGAATTTTATCAAATTTATAACCTGAAAGAATAAATTGCAATCACACTAAGCTACAAAACCTGGAAAAGTTTATTTTTAAAACTAAATTAACCACATTGGCGTGCGAAGACCATCACAATAACGACGGGGCTGGCCTCCAATTTATATAGTGTGGCCCAGGAACAGACACTAAGGAAGTAGTGGGGTAGGGATTTAAGTCACTTTTTAAGTGGTATAAATTAACGCCGATGACGTCATGGACGAAAAGGACTTACGGGCCATATTCTGCTCACCGTTTTCTCCATTCTATCCCGGGGAAATGACAAACTCCTGAAGGGGGTCTTGTTTCACGCGCCGTTAGTCGGTTAGTTATGCGAGTTAACAATGCACATTTGCATAGAAATTCGAACGTGAAGAACAACAATGTGCTGACATTTGCACACAAATTGGCTCTAAAGTTAGGGCCTGCTTACATGGAAGTGGGGAACCCCACGTAGTAGAGGTAATATGTGGCGGGTCACCCCACCTAACATGTCAACGTGATCAAATTTAAATGAGAGATTATGCGGACAGGCGGGTTACCCCACCTAAGCGGGTTACCTCACCTACTTGGGGTCCCCATCTCCACGTAAACAGTCCCTTAGACCCAAGGGACAGCCTTACATGTTACCATAAAACACAAAACAATAATAATAAAAAAAAATTAGGAAGGATTAATTGAAACGTGGGACTAATAAATGCTCGCAATAAAACCGGACACGTTTCTTTTAAAGACACAGGAAATCAACTTTATGACCCTGTAATAATTGCAAAAAGAAAAAATACTTTGTGATTTTAAAGAAATATACTATTAAGTAGACCAAAAAAGGCAATCTAGTTCTTTTTTACACTATGCATTATTTTTTACTTACCCCGTGTCTCCAGTATTTCTCAATGCAATTGTTGTTTTAATACGTGCTAAGAGGTATTTGTATTCTGGTATAAATATGGCTGTTTAGTATGCGAGTCATTCTCGGTCGTTTACGTCTCCTTTTCTGCGTGTAATTTAAATTTTATATGTATTTAGGATTTATTAAAAATCAGTTGATTGATTTTAAAAATAGCGCTTAACTCTATTGTAGTTTGATCTACGTTCAGTGAATTTATCTATATATATGATGTGTGTATTTTCGTTTATTATTGTTATTTTTTCGGCTTCGTAAGAAGGTCGTGGAGGTTTTTTTTGGCCTTGTTCCTACCCAGGTTTCCTCTATTTTTCGCATCTCTCGCGGGTTTTTTGTAGGGGTTTTTCCTGGCCTCCGAGCGTCTCTTGTAGTTACGTATCCAAAAATCCGTTAATTTTCCTTGATGTGTTCTGTGATGTATTCCTAACAATTCTGTTTTTTAGGCTCAGTTGGTCTTCAATAGAAAAACTTCAAATTTCATTCTAAAAATTGTTTATAACTGCATTACGTGACGAGGCACGCCCTATTTTATCGAGAAATCCCTTGGCTCGAAATGCCCACAACGTAGAAAGCAAACCGTTGTCCTTTCGTAGGTCCAAACAGTGGCTACTGATAGTCTTCTTGTAAAAACGATTGGAATGAGACGAAGTCATTTTTTCTTCGTCCTAACGACAATTTTAGTTAGCGGAGGACTGGCACTAGTCAGTGAGGACCAATTGCACCAACAAAGTGCGAAGATTCCAACCATTCCGAGCTGATTTCGTAGACACTTTGTAGTGTCAAAGTTTTTGATTAAGAGAAACTGGAGCTACACGTTTAGCAAGTGGTGGGAATCGTTGGTTGCAATTTTCGATCAGAGGAGAACGCGGTCCATCACGTGACCTGGGAATTTGGATTTCCTTTTTCTAGCTTTTTGAAGGTTATTTTACCTTACCATTAATTATTCCTGGAGGTTGTCTTTAACAACGATTTTGGAAAATTTGCATAAAATTCACAAAGGCTTAGAACCAAGACTTAATCTACTTAATAAGTGAGAACACACGTAATGCACGTGAAAGCGAATCAAATGCTAATCAGATGCCAGATCACCAAATACCTGGACTTGCAATTGGGAGAAAGGTTTTGTTACTGGCAAATCAAAATTGAAAAAAGGATTTTTCAGTTTACCTCTGTGTCTTTTTTTGTTTATTCTACACCAACCAATCAGTGACTGGTTAAAATAAACCATGATATCAAGTTACCCTGAATAAATTATGGCACCATCATGACCAAGTAGGGACATGATATCACTTTTCTATTTATAGATTATGATTTCAATGCTTTTTGATGAAGTCAACTCCTAGGGTATTCTGACACCATCCTATCTTAATAAGATGCATGACGTCATCGGCGTTAACTTATACCACTCAAAAAGTTAATTAAATCCCCCAAAAAGGAGTAAAACATCTCTACCCACTACTTAAGGGGAATCACTGCCAAAGGTTGCTATGTCCGGCTTAGTGTTTCTTCCTTTTCTTTTTAAGTCCCAGAACAAGCATATCGTGAAGGTGATCATGAAGACCGTAGAAGGTCTATTAAACCACTGCAGATGCAAACAAAGGCATTTATTTACCTTCTACTATCCTCAGTTACGTAAAACCTTTGCGTGTTAGTCCGGTCAGGAATCGAACCAGTTTGGAGGTCAGTATGCGCAATCATTGATTGAATAATATTATTATCGCGGTAGTTGGCGGTTGGCACGTTTTAAAACAAACTTTCTTGTCACTTTGGTTCCTTCACTGTATGTATTTGATTTCCATTTTCGATGCTCTTCAAATCTCTTTTTATATAATCTGCAGAATTAACTGCCGTTATTTTTGCGTTTTTCAGGCGAGCAAGGGCAAGCACGGGGCGGGCATGGACCACCAAACAGGAGGGACGGAGGGAAGGCGAAAAACTGTGGCGCATACTGACGTTCCACGCCAGCCTCGCGCTTACCCTCGCTCACCTGAAAAACGCCAAAAAATGACGACAATTCTGCAGATTATACTAACGTTTTTTTTGCAGGCTACAAAAAGTAAGAATCCCAGAAACTTATCGTTGATAACCTTGAAATCAGCGACCACATACGCACCTGAAATTGGACGATTCAGTGTCACAATGGCCTTTCCTTTTGGCTTAAACCAAAGGATATGTTTGACATCACACTCACTGATTCTCTCCATGAACATCTTTAAACCATCTTTGGTGGTTATTTTGTTTAAACCCAAAACATAAAGTTTGTTTGGCTCATATCGAGTGTCCAATATGAATCCACGAGAAGCTGCATCTGTTCAACAAAATGATAAATTACCTCCTTTCTCTTTTACCAAATACTGTAGCACACATAGTGGGCTATTTTGTTCAAGTTAACTTAAAAGTTAACATTGAACGGGTCGTTCAGGTTATAGAAACGGTTTACATCCTGTGAGATTTAACTAGCCTATAAAGGACCACGATACCAAAAATGATGCCTTGGACCGAGCGGCACCTCCCCTTTCACGTGGCGCTAATAGACCTTTTTACCGATATGGCGGCCATATTGAATTAATTCGATTTAAGGAGTATTATAGGATGCCCAAGGGGCATGAGCACATTTCGTTTGTATTTTCGAGCGCTTTTCGGGTCATTTTTTCTAAACGTTTTCTTACAATAAGATTGTAATGGGAAGAAAGATCCTTGTGCCGTGTTTGGATGTAATAATGATCGCCTTTTTCCCGAGAAATATACAGTGAAAGACCATATTTCTAATACTAAACTAGAAAAAGGCGATCATTATTACATCCAAACACGGCACAAGGATCTTTTTTTTCCATTACAATCTAATTCTAAGAAAACTTTAAGAAAAAATGTCCTGAAAGGCACTCAAAAATACAAACGAAACGTGCTCATGCCCCCTGGGCATCCTATAATACTCCTTAAAACGAATTAATTCAATATGGCCGCCGTATCGGTAAAAAGGTCTATTCGAAAAGCTTTACGAAGGAACCTAAAACGGGCCAATTTACTCATCTTGGATATGGAGTTTATCGCCCGGGCCTCCACAACGAGTCACAAAATCACCTGAGCGACGTTGGAAATTAATGTGCGACTATTAAATGTTAGGGGACGGGTTAATACTCACCATTCCCCTGGTTAAAACCTAGTCGCTTGTTTTAAATATTCAAAAGACGATTCAGAGATGCATTGAGGCCATAAGGTTCACAACAGAAAAGCCACGCTTTCTCGCAAATTCATCCCGAGGCAGGAATGAGCAGTCAGGGCGGAAAAAAAACGGTCTCAAATCACTTTTTAGGGGGAAAAGGAAGGAGGACGAAATTACCCCTTCTTCCACGTGACCGCCTCTGTCCGTCGTTAACTGATCCTCGACCTCTCTGTTCTTCACGACCTCTTCCCCGGCCTTCCGCGTGCGGATCACTCCCAACACCTCTGTAGTAGGTTCCTCGACCCCCTCTAGGCCTCGAAAATCCTGATCTTGAACTGTTGCGTGGTTTTATTCCTCCTTTACCTTTTTCTTTTAAAAAGACATAAAAAAGAAAAAAAGACATTATGGACATTCTTCATGATAAAAATAAACTGTTTTTGAGGACTGAAATTTTAATTCGGCTCACTATTTTTCTTCCTTGTTTTTCACTTTTAATTATTATTTTGTATTAAAATTATTATCCGTTTCAGATTGACTTAAATCCCAAGGCTACTTCTTAATGGCCGCTAGAGGTGACCAAATTTGGAGGATGTATGCTTTAATGTAACGACTGACGCATTACATTGGGTCTATTCCGCATCCGCAGCAGTCAGTCAGAAACGAAGCGACGAAAGTTTTCAAGTAGGAAAACCTTTCGTAGCACCTTTTCTCCCGACCTTACTGACTGCCCCTGGGTCTTTAACCCTAACCGCAGTATTCTCGGGCAGAGCTTTTGCCTTTTCCTAGTCCAGGAGTTCTCTGATGTTGACAAATTCTCGGACCTTCGCTATAGCAATTTCGCCAACATTTTGTCAGAGCAGCTTACAAAACAGGGGCACCCAACGGGAAATTTTGAGAAAAAGACCTAAAAACAACCACAAAGCGTGAATAAAGCTTTCTGAGACTATTTTAAGCATTTTGGGAGATTGCTGGAAAAAAATTATCTGTTCCTCACTCCCAGCAAGACTGATGAAAAAGTTCCCAGCCAGCAACCTTACAACCTGCAACCTGACTTACTGGGAAGTTTCATAGGGCACAATTCAGATCTTGAGTGGTAAGTAACCCATACAAGTAACCCGTAGCAGCTATTCTAGACTTCAAATCCCCTCTGACACCCTGAATTATCTTTTACCCAGCAACACTTTCCTTCCAAGGACTATTATTTCTTTCACATCTCCCAGCCAGCAAAAATGTGCCTGAAGAACAGATATTTTGAGGAACAGATCCATTGGGTGCCCCTGACAAAAACCTTATGCTATGTTTACACTATGCCGGATAGCAGTTTCGTGTGGGTATATTATGAACAACGACGGCAACGAACTGGAACAAGTTGTTCACACACATCGAACATCATCATAGCTCTCAATTTTTTTACCTGCTTAAGGAAACATGGCAAATTAAGATTCGCAAGTTGAAATTGTTTCTATAGAGCTTCTAAATCCGGAAGAAACACAGATATGGAAGGGTGAAAACGAATCGGTAAGTTCCCGCCAAGATTTGTTTTTATTTTTATTTATTTATGCTCCTTATTGCCGCCTTTATTTGACAAGCAAGGATTGGATGCTACGTTAACGGTTTGATTGACGTCAAAGAAAAACTCAAAATCCTGAAAAGTTTTTTGACAACGCAGGCCGAAATCAAACCTTCATGCCATCACGTGTTATGAGGAGAAATAGTACAAATACTGCCTCAAAAACATAGCAATAATACGTAAATACCACTTGAGTAATGACAACTGCGTTATGAAAAATGTCTGCCAAAGAACAGGAAAATGTTTTGAAGAAGAGAATTGTACATAGAAGTAAGTAAGAAAAAAGCATGTTTTGGGCTTGGACGGATAATCTAATAATTGTATTATTACTCGTTCAACTCGGCTTCTTATATTGCGATGAATTATTAAGATCTCGTATACATCAGTGTATACGCCTCGTTAAGTAGCAGAACCTTCATATTGGTGATATTAATCAAAGATTGCGGAGTGCATGCAATGATTATGATCCCAGGCTCCCTCTGTCTTAGCAAGTTGGTGCTAGGTAATGCCAAAGCTGCATATTTGCATTAGAAGTGAGTTCTGCGTCGAAGGCAAGCATACCCAGCTTCATGCAATAGTTATTAGTTTTCAAATTCGATCGCCGATTTATTTCGTGTATTTTCAGGGGATTAAGATTGTGCATGAAAATTTTACCTTCCTTCGTTCGAAGGATCTGAATCCCATATGACAACACGCAGGAACTAAGATTATAGTGCGCTAACAAACACTAACCTGCCATATTGGATCCAAGGCGTCAGAGATCTAACGGTCTTCAACCTTTGTATCTGAAGCATGCACTAATTAGAGAATAAAACAATATAAGATTCAAGAATGTAAAAAAGTGTTAGGTGTGTCAACATATCTAGCTTCAGTCTTGGCTTCTAGGAATACTAAGCTGCCTACTTTTCCTTCCGACCTCCCTCCTTCCAGTCCTTCGTTCCTTGCTTTGCTCGTGTTTCTTTCCTTTTATACAGCTTCTCTTAGGGCCTGTTTACCTGGAGGTGGGCGACCCCAGATGGGTGAGGAAACATGTGGTGGGTTACCCCACCTATCATGTAATCGTGATCAAATAAAAATGAGAGACTATAGGAACGGGCGGGTTACCCTACCAAAGCGGGTCAGCTCACCTACCTGGGGGCCCCCACCTCCATGTAATCAGGCCCAAACTTGTTCTTGCGTTTTATAAGACTTTTACGATTTTTTTTTGAATGTAAAGTAGCAGATAGTAGCTGCTCACAATGATTTGTCTTCTGCCAACCCCTTTACAAATTTTTTGAGCTGTGAATGCATTAAAAGTGAGCAATCCCCCATTCTATAACGATACACAACGGACGGACGGCTTTGTAAAGGTAAACGTGAAAGCACAATGTTATAATTTACCTAACGAAAAACGTCTCGTTCATATATCCAGTTTTCATGACTCTCCTGTGGTCGGATTAACGAGAGGTTTCACTGTAATTGAATATAATTCATTATCCATTTGGCAAACTGGTCATCTTTGCCATGACTGATCGTTCTGCTACATCGACTCCGGGCCTTTGCCAGAGAGCGAAGACTCAAAAGAAAGCGCTTTCGCTTTTAAAATAATCGTTTTTCTGAGCTCTCAGTTTGCAATGCTATGATGAAATGAATATTAGTCAGAGGTATCACCGAGGGGTGCTATATACTACGATCCGTATTACGCTAAAATGTTTTCAAATTATATTTTGAAGTGTATCTACGATTTTGTCCAATGCTGCCATCCTGTGATATATACCGAAGAATGCATGAGCATTTCTTCTGATCTTGTATGTTTTATATTGTAACTATGGCTTGAAATATAAAAAGGAAGAACAGAATAATAGATTACTGACTGATCCTAGATTCACCTTTAATAATATGTAGGCACGTAAGCTTATGTTTTAAATAATTCAATATTTATGTGCAAAATTATATTTTAAGGTCAATAAACTTCGAGACTGAACATACCTGTTTTAATTTTCAAGGTGAAAGAAACAACGTGGCGAGCTGATGTTTATTTAACAAGTTTCTTCGGTTCACTCGACTTACCTCTAAACACTAAAGAAGCAATTTGTCGAAGGCTTGATTAGGCAAACTTTCTGTAGCTGCAAAAATTGAATTTCACTTCTTTTCGCTGAAGTTACTTTCTACTTCCGCCTTTATTCTGGGAAAAAGATATGAAAATGAGGCCCAACCTCGTTCCTAGGACTTTTCCGCAAGAAAAAGTCATGGGGAACGAGACCGAGGAGAAGTTAATTGTCTGCAAGCGTGACGACGTGACGGAAATAACAATTTTAATTTCAGCGCATTTTTTAAAAAAGATTAAAAATTGCAGACAAAGCAAGAAAACAAAGAGCAGGAGATGGGTCTGGAAGTATTAATTAACTGTTAAGCGAACAAGTCAGCATTTTGTGTTCCCGTGGAAAAAAACCAGAAAAGAAAGAAAGAGAGAAAGAAAATTTGAGATCAAGATAACTCGTTTCTTTTGAGGGGCGGACAGTCAGTTTCGATTTACGCGTTGCGTGGACAAACAGTTTTTTCTTGTGCGCAAATGCTGCACCCGGGGGAAACGGCAAAATAACTCTTTTTTTTTTTGTTTGAAAGAGCTAAACATCGCAAACGCACACCATAAATAAACAATACGCCTTTAATAGGCGATATTGGGCTGTAGTAGTTAAATATTTTCCATACTGAGTGTATAGCTTGTCCAGTAATTACTCCAACCCCTAGAAATAGAGATCCATTTGTAGATCACTGATGAATTATGGCGCGTTCACTTGACAGTTTTCAGAATAAGAATAAGTTATTATATGAACTAGTGTGTTACAGAGATTTTGGCCACTAAGAAAAGTCCTACCAGAACACATGTGTTCTGATATCTATTTTCAGCCAATCAATCCATGAATCTTCACCTACGTCATTTGTAATCAGTCTTCGCCCCAAACAGAGGTTTTGATCGCCCCTTCGACATCTCTCGTTAAGGGACGGACCATTAGAAACTTTATGGGGGTGGGGGGGGGTTGGGGAATTTTAAGGCCGTGAGAGAACCAGGCAGGGGATGACGTAAAAACGACTATCAGCACAACCTCATGAAGCCAAACAAGTTTAACTAAAGTAGAGCCGTCTGTTTAATTTATTTAAAAACTTGATTATTTCTCATATATTTGCTAGATACCAGATAACTGAAATTATTTATCAAATATCACTAATATTGCCCTTTCCATATCTAGCCGATTTTTTGAAAACCAACCCTAACGAAATGTGTGGTCATTTGAGTGAAAAGGTGTCAAAAGGCAGGTTTCTTAAGCCCGAGAATCTCCAAAATCACAGTAATCAAGGAAAAGGAAAGGAGAAAAAGAAAGAGGAAGAAGAAGGAAAGGAGGAGAAGAAAAAAAAGCAATGGTTGCACTCTTAGTTTTTATAATAGCTACTTTGGCTGAAAACAACTGTTCGATGCAAAAGGTCCATTTGGCGACAACGTTATCAAAAATCCGGCTAGATATACAATCATGCAAATCATGTATCTAGGTAATTTCTACGTACAATTGTTTAAATCTCTACTATTACTATTTTTAATATACAATATGACAGAGTAGTGTTAACTACTTCAGTATACATATGCTCTTTGCACTATTAAATTGCTTAAAGCCTCTTTAGATTAATGTCGAAAGGATGTTTCAAAGCAAGAAAATCATAATAGCATATCCGCGGTTTTAAACCATTAACGTGTTATTAGGGTGCATTCTATTGGGAAATCCCTGCTTTTTTCGCTAATTATGCGTGCGCGTGCAAGACCGCTGTTCTTAAGAACAGTCAGTTTCAAATCCTTTTTTGGATTTCCCGATCGAACTACAAAAAGGAAAATCCAAAAAATCTGGATTTGGATTTCTTAATTGAAATCCACCCTAAGGACGGATTTCTCAGGGGTGAAAAACGTTTTCGGATTTCGCGTTCGATTGGGAAATCTGGATTTAGATTTTGAAAATCTAAATCCGGATTTCCCAATCGAACGCACCCTTAGTCTCTTTGCATCGTTCACAGTCAACATTTCCTGATACGGACCTGCCCACTTAGCAAACCCTATCAGTAAAGAAGGAGATGAAATCGGGAGCTGATTACCATGAAGTGAATGTACATATATATAGTTTTTTTTTCTATTGTGCGCACCACCATAAGATTATGATTGAAGGAAGTCTGATTTGGATCGAGCCATTGACTTTCAAAAGAAATTTCAACACATAACGTTAAGACCACACAACGTCAAAAAATTCTTAAATGGCGGTGCGCAGGAAAATCTGAGCGTAAAAAAGCAATATTTTTATTTATTTGCAAAACATTTAGCGTGTGTTAAATATGAGTGGAGATTCCCTGTAGTCAACATTTGATTTTTTTTGGCCAGCAGGATCGAAAGTGGTATAGAGCATGATCATACAAGTACTAACTTAATGGGGATATCTAGATCTGTAGCTAATCCTGCTATAATTATTCTCATTTCTGAATGCGGCTAAACATTTCACTGAAATCTACTTAGATTAGAGTGTTATCGATTTTGGTACCCTAATACATTACACCTTCCCAGAAATTCCTGTCAACAATAGAACCAACGCGAGGCTTAGGTGACGATGATAAGAATGTCCATTAGAGACTCGGCCTCTTTTCTTGCTCACTGACGTGGAATGAGGGAATAAGTCAGTAATTATTAAATTCGGGATTCGGCATTCGTATGATCTGAAGAATTATCCAGATCCTCGAGGGCGTTTGTTTAATCTTCCTGGACCGATAACACCCTCTAAGATCTGCATAATCCAATAATTTTTAGTTATTGATAATTCAAAAGAATAATTCTGACATACTTCGAATCATTAAGCTTACCTCGATCGATGTAAAGTTCTGGTCTTCATTTGTCTGTTCCTCGGCAGATTCAGATGATAATGGGATGTTAAGTCTAAGACTTTAGTTTTGGAAGCAAGGAACAACGTTACAAAAAATTAAGAACCGGATCCTAACAGAGGATCTTATCATCTGTAAAATATAGAACAACAGAAAGCAAAGACGCTGAAGAAGAAAGGCGCACCTTTCAAAATATTGGCAAAAAATTATATTCCCAGATGTCAGCCTTCCTTCTTTCTGTAATTTCCAAAGATATTCTTCAAATATCATTTGTCATCCGTTGGGTAGTAATTTCGCTTTTCCATTACATGTTTTTATTTTTGGGCAGAAGTTCGGCTATTTCTTGCAGACAAAACCCAGCCCTATGAAAACAACTGAGCTAACTCAACCTCTTCCCACAAGGCTTTAAGTTTGCCGTGCCTCTTTTGGAGATAGGCTGAACTATTAGGGAGCTAAAGAAAACACGATTTTGAGGGAAGCACGTCAACCGGAAGTGGACCTTTTTAATTTAGTCATAGGCAGTGGTTTAGCCCAAATTCTCGGCCAAATCGTCTCTATAAGAATAAAGGCACTTAGCGATACATATTTGGTAGCGTCCAGTCATTAGGCTTAGCCATAAGTTGCCGATAAATTCCCAAAAAGTTGCCAATAAAAGTGTCTAAAAGTTGCTATTCTATTTTTAAAGTTGCCGAAAAGTTGCTGAATTCCGAAAAAGTTGCCGAATAGTTGCTATTTTATTTTACTTGTTTGCACTTGAAGTTGGTTTTATTGCGGTTTTTACCGACCGGATTCGTCTGGATTTTTCTTTCTCTAGCTATTTCTATCTCTAGCTCGGGGTAGCGAAATTTGCCCCCAGCCTTTTAGCTTCCTCAATAGGATTAATCGGGCCTGATGACAGTCCGCCGTTTTGAAAAACGTGTCATGTGATACCACTGAACTCACGGAAAGGCGTGCAAGCTGGCATTGATGATTGGGCCAGTCCTGGAGTCCACACACTCACACAGTAGTATAAACCAGTTGAATTTAGCTGACGTTTCTTTCGAAAGCTAATAAATGTCGCGAAAAAAGTAAAAAATAATTTTAAAATGCTAAAAAAAATCAAAAGTTGCAAAAACGTTGCCGAGCAACTTGTGGCTAAGAGTACCAGTCATAAAAGAAAAGGTCTCAATTCCAGTTGACGTGCGTCCCCCCAAAACGCCTTTGCTTAAGCTCCCTATTGATGTTCTTTTACCGAGGATATACGTAAACGTGTACCAGATTTGGTCAACGCTAGCAGGTTATTAGCCGGAGAATTTGAGCCAATCAGAAACAGAAAATATTTTGAATAAAATGACCCTATCCTCTCCTCAATAGTCAAAAAAGGTGCCCCATCATAGGGGGGACGGGAAACGTGATCCGTCCGCCATTTTGTCTTTTTGCGACCCTGAAGACGAAGCCTAAATTATGATTGGGTTGCCCCAGGCAGCCCAACAATGAATATTTGAAGCTCTAATTATGTATAGGTAGTGCTAATACTCGTTAAAATAACCTCAATAACCAACCACTCAGATGAGCTAATTTAACTACTCTTTACAGTCTCTTGAATGTTATTATGTACTCGGGATAGCAATGGAAATCATTAAAAATCACAAAAATAGTCGGATCGTCTTTTCTGTTGACAACCGAGTCGTAAAGGATTTCTGGTTTGGTGGGATCCATCGGGGGTGGGCTCTTCATTCCTTGCTTTCCAGCGATATACTTCCCAACAAGCACTCTCGCCAGATACATGCAGCGTTCACCGTGAGGGCCTGGTTGTGAATATGTCTCCGAGTAACTGGCATCTTTTGCAAAGTAAACACCATCGCCGTAAGCGGTCGCTGCAAACATACATATCAGAGCGTCATCACTTGGCTTGTAAGTGAGTTTTTGCATAGTAATGAGCTACAAGTACTTGAATTATAAAATTCTATAAAACCTTTTCTCAAACAATCTCTTCTCTTTCTATTTGGATGATTTCTTCAGCCTTCACAGGAATTAGTAAATAGGCACTTTGTACCCATTACACTGGCACTGAGGAACTAGGCTGTAATGACGGATCGTACAATTCAGGCTTCTGGGAGACTGCCCACCGACCCTCCACTAAGCAAATATTAACACTTACTTCTCACTTGGGGCAAAATGATGGCTTACTGGAGGGGTAGGTGGGCAGTTTCCCAGAAACCTAAATTGATCCGTAATGACAACATAAGCGCTTTCTCAAGAGAAGACGGCTCTAAATGCCGGCCCATCATTATTTTTAACAAAAAGAATATAATAACTCCCATTGGGAGTTTATGAATGACTCACGTCATGTATGACTCACCGATCAGTAAAACTCTACCGCTAATTATTTCACTGTGTTTGTGCCTACATGCTTGTTTTCTTAGCCTTAGGAAAGGTTAGTTACTCTTTTATCATTTTCTGTTGCATGTTATAAAAGGACACTTAATGCCTGACTCACCATTTTTACCACAGAGACTCCTGTTAAATCCCTGGACGTTTATGGGCTTAAAAGATTCGTACTTTGTTCCATGGAAAAGCTCTAGCTGGTTTTCATGGGGGCCGTTTTTCAAATCCATCGTTTGTTTTCTCACAGCGTATGCCTTAAATAGCGACGGGTTTTGAACTCTTTCTATGTTGGTTATGGAAACTTTCCCACGCAGCGACTGAAGAAACTTCCCTTCGACCGTTTTGAACTCTTGGGAGTCCTGTGCAAGGCTGACCAAATGAAGACTCTCTTCTTTGCCTCGCTCGTCTCGAGGCTGGGGGTCCCATTCATCAGGGAGAGGATAGACTAATCAAAAACAAATGTCTACTTGTGAGTTAAATATTTTCTCTCAGGGAGCCCACGGTAAAATCATTAGCGGGAGAGAATCAATTTACAAAAAGTTAGTAGACTATATAACAGCGAAGATCATGCACTTTGTTGATGTTTACCTCCATAGTTAACAGTAGGATTTTTTCAGTTTCATATACTTAATCTATGTTCATTCCTGCCATGGAATTTAGTGAAAAGCCCAATAAATTGTTCGATCTGACCGACGTCAGTGGCTTGATACAAACTCAGAGTTCAAATGGTAATGTTTCAAACAGGCAACGAGAAGGTACCTGATATGTTGACGTCCCGTCAGAACCTTAAATTCTTTTTAGACCTTTTTGCAAATTTTCTAAATTTTGCTCGTGCCCACGATGGTCATTCCTCATTTACTTTCAAATCTACAATTAACATCAAATTTGTTTTTTTATACCTCATCTTAAGTGTTCACAATGTTTGAAAAGGGGGGGGGGGGGGGGACAGGCAATGTGAAATCGTTTGATATATACATCCAGCAGATTTCGACCATTCCAAAAAGGCCACGAGTTTAACCAAAGCGGTACCGTCATCCCCAAGTCTTAAATTTTATCAGTCTGATGCTTTGATTGCTGTCGTTGTTTTATTTGGCTACAGACGAAAAGTCCATGCAAAAGTTAGAATTTAGAATACAGGACAGGGCTGTTCGAAGGTGGGTTAAGATAACCCAGGGTTAGTGCGAAATTTGAACTCAGAAATGAGAGCTTAAAAAGCAAATTCAGTTTAATTCTCTTAGCCTACAATTTGATGATTGGATACTCTAAAAAGAATATAGAACATTATCCTAGAGCGTGCTTTTGATGAAAAGAAAAAGAAGCCCTGGTTAAAATTTAACCCTGGGCTAGCGCTAACCGGCGTTGGAACAACTGGGCCCAGGGCTGGGTTGTTCAAAGCAGGGTTAAGATAACCCAGGGCTAGTGCAAAATTTCAATTCAGATATGAAAGCTTAAAAAGCAAATTCAGTTTTACTCTTTTTGTCCACAATTTGATGATTTGATGCTCTACAAAGAACAGAGAAAATTATCCTGAAAAATGCTTTTGAACAACAAAAGCAAAGAAACCTGGGTTAGCGCTATCCGGCTTTCGAACAACTGGGCCCTGGATCTGAATTCAGTCTAAGGACTGTCGACTATAGTCTTGGGCCTGGGGTCTGGCATCCAAGACGTCTGAACAGAACAAACAAAATTTGGTTGTAGGTCAGTGGTATTTTGCCAGGGGTTAATTGCCTTTTTTGTTGTCTTATGGTCCGTTTGAAAGCATTGTAGTTGATCTACCATGTGTTACTTTTTCTACGTTTACTTGACTTTTTCTATTTTGACAGATGCTAAACAGACCAAACTTAAATATAGCATTTTCTTACCATCTATTCGTTTGACTTGCTTGATCCTCCCATTTCTCAAAAATGTAACTTCCATGGTCCCAAAGTTGATCTCGGCCTTTAAATCCTCATGCGTAAAAAGCAGCGATGGTTTCTTGCTTTTATATGCTGAATCTATTTCATTGTTGGCCATTTTTTCGAAAGGCTCCAGTTTTCCTGAGACGTCGACCATGTACCATTGAACAGTTTTGGACGTTTGTTCTGCTCGCTCTTCCCTGTGCTCTCTCTCCCTCTGCTCTTCGATGGCATCGGACACTCCTAAGTTTATGTCCATCACATCTTTAGGAAGCCCTTCCAGTCGGATGGTATCGGCTTCTGGTTGGTCTAATTTCACATCTCGTGCACGTGCCATTCTTTTTAGGTCACGTATACACCGTTTGGACAAACGGTTGACGACATCATGTTTTATAACGCGCGGATCCTTGCATGCCTTTACGAGTCCATCCTTTAGGGCTTCTATTACTGCGTCAAAGGACTCTGTGCTCCCATGAACGATTACCTTTTGGCGTCGCCAATATGTAGGGAGATCATCGACTGGAGCCTCCAGAGTTTCGTCATTGTAAGCTGCATCTGCTACCTCTTCGTTGGCTTCAGAGCAACTGACAGGAGCGTTCTCCCTTTGGAAGTCTTCCATCTCGTTCACAAATGCACCAATTTTGGAGTCGTCAAAGACCACAACTCTCACGTCATAAACGGATTGGGAAGGTTTGTCAGCAAACGCAGCGATTGCTTTAAAAACTACTTCTGCCGAGTCCTCAGGGGATAATCCCAATCCTCCACTACCAACCGCTGGAATGGACACCGAATCCAACCCTTCGGAATCAGCCACCTTAAGGGCTTTCTCTACACATGTCTGAAGATGCTTCTTGTTTCCAGATACTACAACCATATGTATAATATTCTTGGTTGATAACAATCCAGCTGAGGTCATCAAAACTTCTCCTGGACGCTGCGGTGCTTTTGAACGTAGCTCTCTTTGCACCGCTTCGCCGCAGACCTCAGCAATGACTTTGCTTAAGTTGCCACTTTCCATGTCAAGGTCTTGGGTTACTATATTGCAGATTGCGTCGGAAAATTCCTGTGTGATGTCTCCTTTTACAAGCTTCACCGTAAGCCCTTCGAGGTAGACCTCTTTACAACTAAATTCAGATACAGGGGTCATCTGGCGTCTTTTTCGCAGGTCAGCTGGACGCCTAGAGGCCTTTGGCTTTGAATAGTTTTCTTTCTTAAACTTTCCAAACTTTTCTTCAAACTCTGTAATGCCAAGCTGGTCACCGCTGTACACAATGAATCTGAACTCTTCTAGAGGTGAGTCTGGGTTTGCTTGACTGTAATCAAGAGCAGCTTCTATCATAATTTGGACAGCGACGTCATACGGGAAACCAAGGTTACCCGTTCCTATCAGTGGTAGACCAATAGTGCTCGCCCCCAGCAAAGAAGCTTTGTCAAAACACTTCCGCAACAAATCTCTGAGAATCTGTTGGACCAAAGAAGTAACATGAGTTTGGACCAAGCAAGAACCCTGTAAACAGGTGGGTTATTTTTGGTTTCGATAGCACATGCTTGTTTATTTAATTATTTATTTGAAATATTTCCAATCTTATGGCCGACATTCACTGTGAGGACTCCTTGATACCTTCGGCCATTGGTTGAAATACGAAGGTAGTCCAAACAGATAGTCTTCGGTTCATTAAAATGACTGCACATAATTATTTAAGCGAAATTAACTCGTTTCTATCAAAACAAATATATCTTAAGTAGCATAGAAGGGCCGGACTCAATGAACCACCCCTTTTCCACAGAAATCGTCAAATCAGCTAGGGCTGAGCATTATCGACAAATCCCAGTGCCCTGGCTTCGTGGATTTTGCGGAGGAATCCCATAAACGTCAAGACAGAGTAGTTTCACAGGTTTATCATTCGAATTAGCAAGTGTCAGTTAATTCTGGACCTGCGATGTCACTTGTTTTCAATGACGAACCTCAATGAGAATATTATCCTGACCTCGCTTATGAGATTAATATAAACTAAAAACAGGGTTTATTCAATCCCTATGTTTAACAAAATGCGACTTTGTTCATTCATGCCAACCTGTTTTTGCTCAGCAGTTTCTTTCCATGGACAACACACACAGTGAATTACCCAGCGGCAGGGTAGGTCTCCAGCAACGGTGTGAATAATGTCGCCTTCACCGAGGTCAGCTGTCTCATCCTCTTTTTCTCTCAAGGCTTGTTGCAGTGCTGGTCCAGCGGCTTTGCTCATCGCAGTTGCAACCGCACCAATGGAAAGTTTAAAGTTTGAACCCACAGAACACACTAAAATATCTGCCTGCAATGAATAACAGCTTCGTCAGATCGATATACTGGTCCGATGGCCGGTATCTTGTGTTCTCTCAAACTTACTTATTTAGAGCGGGTAAAACTTTACAGTTCAAAAACCTGATAAACCTTTGGAGACACTTTCCAGATCAAACCGGAAGTTAGAGTGGGAATTACTACAGTTCAGTAAATGAAATGAAGTTTTCACAAAAGCGTTGTATTGTGAACTCGTTCACTTGTTTGTTTTGGTTTGGTTTTTGGTGTTCCTTTTCAGGGTGAATAAGTGCAAAAAGAATAGTAAGGCAAACCTTTTCTTCTTCAATGTTTCCTGTCTTCCAGATAACCTTTTTTCCCGCTGAGGTGACTATGGTTTCTTTATTTTCATCAAGCTCGTCTTCACCGTCACTACCGATGCTCAATGGCTCATCGTCGTCACTTTCATCGTCTTCACGTTGGTCTCCGTTTTGTTTCGTAATTTCGATAATACACCTGTGCTCTTGTTCTACAGCTGCGATCAACCGTTTTCCATCTTCTTGAGCTAAGAAGCTTCGCATGCCTGGTGTGGAAATATTAAACATTTTCTCTTTAATTTGCTCTTGCAAAAGGTACAACCTCTCCTCTACCTCCTTTACGCCATCCTCAGTTCCAGAAAAGACTATTCGATCGCCGTTTTCATCTAAAGAAATCTCGACTGCGTGAAAGGCAATTGCAAGCTCTTCTTTGATTTTGGGTAGTTCATCTTTGTAGAACTCATTGAAGAACCTTCGATGTATAGACGAACCTAGTCTGAACTCTCCCTCTGTTGCTTTCTTCTCGTTAAGAAAGTCCCTCATTTTGATGACAGCTTCTGAGACATCTTGCCTGAACCCAAAGACGGCAATGCAAGATAGTTCTCGTTTTGTGCGGATCTTAAGACGCTTTTCCAGTTTCTTACGAAGATCTTTCCACTTTTCGGATCCTATGAGATGGTTATCTTTGTCGTTAACACCGAGACTTCGGTCGCTGATTAGCACTTCCATCGCCTTCGTCCTGCCTTGTATAGTTTCCTCCGGTGTTTGCCCGAGAAGGATGACCTTTTTGGTTTTCTCGTCGACGTTGAAGGAGCACCCCTCTGGCAGTTCAGCCGCCATCTTTCGTTTCCCGACTTTGGTTTTTAAGATGTCTAAAATCTCTGGAGGATAAGGCATAGAATTGTGGTCGATTTCGTCCAGACGCTGCTTCAGGTATGACATGACCGACGCCATCAGATCTTTAGGTGTTTTAACGACAAGGCTTTTGCTGCCTAAGTCGAGTTTCGCTTGAACTTCGGTGTTAATTTCTTTCTTCAGTATATCTTCAATTCTGGCATTTTGAAGAAGTTGCAGCTTTTCGCAAGGTATGTCTGTTTTCCTCTTCTGCTCCAACTTTCTCTCAAGGACCTCTCGTTTGATGTCTTTGAGGCGAACCTTTAGCCTTTCTTCAAAATCGGGCATATTTGATTTTTGACATATCAGTATTAGCTGGCAAGATTCCTTTTGTAATTTTACTTGCGCTGTGAGTTTCGGAAGTGCCCTTTCGACTTGCGGCAGCTGATCGGCAACTTCGTCCAAAATTTCCTCTTCCAGTGGAAAGTCTTTAGCACAACAGTTATCGAGAAATGCGTCGACGATATCAGAACAGTGGCGTTTCCAAACCTGTTCATCGAACTCCTGGTCCACTTTATGTCCACCATATTTAATCAGCACATATCCATCTTCGTTCCACCTGATTCGAGCACGTTCTTTCATGTCTAGCTCTTCCCTCAATTTCACCTCTTGGTTTGACTTCATTATAAATTCCATTAAGTCCTGATTAACTGACTTGTAGAATTCTGGTTGTCTGGATCCTTCGGGTTCACCTGAAAGAGGTCGCAATGATCCCTTTGGTTGCTTATCTTCACCAGTTATTCCCATGTAAGGGTAAAAAGCCTCCACGTGAAGGGCTTTTTCATTTAAAAAGTGATCCATCGTCGTTGCTTTCTTTACACCTGTGATTCACAGAGAAAAACACACAAAAGTAGTAATGAGAAAAAATTACGGGGTGCTTTGACCTATCTTGATCTCTCTGCCTTGGAAGACTGATGTCAATAGGGACCTTAAGAACCTGAGATTGACTAATTGGCGTGGGTGGGTGTGGGTCGTGGGTCGTGTGTCGTGGGTCGTGCATCGTGCCTAATAATAGCCGTCATGCTTTGTGGATAGTGGCTCTTCGAAAAGACTCTTGCTCTTTGACTTTAAAGGCACCGTCTCCCATTACTGTCTTTACACGACCCCTAACATTCATGTGAAGTTTCTCCGATAAAATTCAGTAATGCAAACTTATCAACGAAATATTTCCTCCTCGTAGACTTGCCCATAAGTAGAGCTCAAAATTTTTCTCCAGCGCAAAGCGAGAGCTAGAAATTTTTTTTATGTTTTCGGTGGCAAAGTGAGCGATGTGAGAGACCGGGAGCTGGGCCTACTAACGTCTATCCTCCCCGGTCCTCTTCCATTTTCCTGCATGTTCCTCGCACACTCTGCGTGCTTAATTAAATGCACATGCGTCCAAGGAAACCACTTCTAGTTTTAAAAAAGAAAAAACACTCCTTAATCCCGGCTTTTGTTTCACATTCTATGTCGTTGGACAAAAACCTTCCTGTATGGTTTTTAAATCAAATTAGGTATTTAGTTTAGGGAAGACTATTCCATAAAACAAATTATGACCAATCATCACCATTTAAACACGCCAATTCTAGCACTATTTTATAAACAGCAAACTTCCTTTGAGTGACAATATTTAAAAGCCTAAATAACAGATCTAGTGGTCGTCCGTGTAAAGAAGTTTTAACTTTAACTGATCACATTTGTTCATAGGGAACATAACACTTCATGGGCAAATCACAGGGTGTGAAAACCTTCGTGCCCTCAATTTTCTTTCCAGTCTAAGATGATATGAAATAATCTCGTTATGAAATTGAAGTCATGAACAAATGCTTTTTTTTTTCTTTTTTTTTTTTGGACAACTTTACATCCAACACGCGTACCCAGTTTGTCGCCTTCAATTTTAACAATTTTCACGCATTTTCACTACCTTTGCTAGCAAATTTTCTCGGGTACTAAAAGTTGTGATAAAAAAGGTAGGCCGCGCCAACTAACAAATAATGAAAGTGTGTTAATATTAGTAGCAGGACTGAACGTCTTGAATCAAAAGCTATCTCAGAGCACTTGACCTTAGTTAGAACTGCCCGGACAGACCAGTCCATTCGTTAAGAGGATTCCGGTATTGATCAGGACCATCCTGCTGCATCAGCCTGTTTCTGAAGGGTATACCTAGCAGTGATGAGAATTTAATCAAAAATATCCTGAAAAAAGGCTTTAACCATACCGCTTTGATAATCAGGTTGGTTTCACTAAAACGAGATGGACCGGTCTCGCTTTATTAAAAAATTATGTGACTGTGGACTTAACACGTAAGACGGAGGCCATTGACAAGTGTGCGACTCACCAACCACGACCCACATTCCACGACGTACGACCCACGACCCACGACCCACGACCCACGACCCACGACCCACGACCCACGACCCACATACCCAAGCGTTTTAGCCATCCTCTAAGATCCGAGGACGGCGACGCCGACGCCGACGAAAAAGCGAATTAAAGAGAGGATTCACGTTCTTTCAATCTTTATCATGATTATTCCAATTCACTCGTACTTACAGCCTTTGTGAAAATGTTATGTAGCCGAACTCTCTTGGAGTTGAATTCCTAAAAACTATATCCAAGTTCACAAGAAGAAAGAAAATTTCCTCTTCGCTTGTCTACGCCCTGCTTAGAACATCAAATGAATTTTAATGTCGTCGTCGTGCAGGTACGGCTAATATATGTGCAAAAAAGTGCGCTGCACGCACAAAGAGGCGTCCTCGTTGCCGTTGCTATTGCCGTCGTCGCGGGATCTTAAGGTCCCTTCTGGCTCCTGCAGGGATGCAATACAATACACTGACGCCACAAACGTGGCTCAAGCTCCGTTCGTTTGATTAAACAATAACGTTCGGCTGTCTCGTAAAATCTTACTCCAATCTCAGTATTAGGGGTGCGTATTACATCGAAAGTAAAATCATCATAATAATTCTGTGTTAAGGTTGATGGCGAAGAAGTTTTTCATCCAACATAAAAATCATACCAACGTAAACTATTACATGCCACATCTAAGCCCAGGGAAAGAGGTTGCTAACAGATAGGAATGTGCCTTAAGGGTTTACTGCAAACTTGCTTAATCGCAGTCGGAAAGTACCCGGCTTCCTTGAAAGAATTGTTAACACTTAGGATTGCACGGTAATCCGATACAAAGTATAATAATAACAATAATAATAATAATAATAATAATAATAATAATAATAAAATATCTATTTGGCGCTTATAATTTTCAGTGCTAAGCGCTTTACAATGCTTCAAAAAGGTCTGAATAAAAAATAAAAATCCTAAAATCATTACATATATATATATACATAGTCAAAAAAATACAAAATAAAAAACCTAAGATAGTTCGTAAACTCGTTTAAAAAGAAAGCTCTTCAATTTAGATTTAAACTTATTTACATCATCGATCGATCTAATGTCAATAGGCAAATCGTTCCAGAGTATAAGGCAATGACTGAAAAAACCCTGAAACCGTATGTCTTTAAGTTATAGGGTTTGATAACAAGACGCCACTTGTCTGAAGATGATCGAATGTACCTCGCAGGTTCATAAACATGGATTAGGTCAACCAAATAATCAGGAGCTAAATTGTTGAGTATCTTAAAACAAATAAGATTAATCTTAAAGATTATTCTTTGCAGAAATCCAGCTTTGAATTTATGAATGCGTGCACAAGAACTTCAGCCGTAGTGGCATTGATATACTTACGAATCTTAGCTATATTTCTAAGGTGGTAGAATGCCACTTTAACTATGTTGTTAATATGAAAAGACATCGTTACGGTGTTATCGAAAATGACGCCGATATTACGCGCCTTATTTGTAGGCTTGATGATATCAGTTCCTATTCTAATAGAAGGTAGCCGTGGGGGCAGTCTGAACCTAGAATAGAGAATGAGAAGTTCCGTTTTGTCAGTATTTAGTTTCAATTTGTTAGTGGTCATCCAGTTGGTGATATCGACAAGACAGCTTTCAATACGGGAAATTGTAGTGGTAAGATCATCCTTATCACCGCAACTGAAGGTGGTGTATAGTTGAGTATCATCAGCATATAGATGGAAGTCCATGTCATGCCATCGTATTAGGTCACCTAGTGGGGCCGTGTACAACAGATACAGCAGCGGACCCAACACGGACCCCTGGGGTACACCAAATCTGAGCGAACGAAGTGAAGTATTCACTTAACATTCCGATTCAAATTTTCAGAGACGTGACCAAACAACGACGTTTCCTATTTTCGATTCACAAATTCATTAGGATTCACCATCTTTGAGAAGGCTTCGGAGCTGAGGCATTTTTTCATACATATCAGTATTGACAAGTATGTAGGTTTGATTACCAGCCGCTAATCGGGAACATGGCCGGATCCAAGAGAAAGAGGCGGGAATCGAGGCATACATACCTCAGTGGCGGATCCAGGGGATTTTGGAGACCTCAAGGTCTGGATGCGGCACTGATGTTTAATAGGCCGTGTACGAAACCTGAAATTACGTGGGGTCGAAACTTAGTTGAAAAGGAGCTTAGAACATGTTACTTACTTCTTTTGTCTTTGAAGTAGACAATAGCTCTCTTGTGCTTTTTATCTTCCTCCCAAAGTCGATGGTTTACCTGCACTCCGCGAGCCAGATCTAAAGAACCAACTTCTTTATCAAAATAAGCTTCAACTTGCTCCACTGTGGTGTCCTCGGAAAACTCATTGACAAAAATGCTCTTGCATTCTGGCGCCCTTTCAATGACGTAGTTCACGCCTTCTTGTGGTCTTCTTTTCGCTTCGGTCAGCATATTTGAAAAATCTTAAGTAAAATAAATATTGTTAAGCCTAAATCAACATGTACACTTTTTAACCGAGGTTGGCTTTTACTTAGACGGCCTTTTTTTCAAAAGACACATTTACAGTTTGAGACAAAGACTGTAGATCTATATTTATGGCGATCCCTTTGGAGTAATTTCGAGAGCCCTCATCGGTGTCTCGCAAGTTTGCTAAAGATGATACAATAAAACCCGGCGACTAAGAACCTGGATTGTAAGAACCTGTTAGGCTAAAATTTGCCCCCTTTTAGCCTAAAAATTTAAACAGGTTCTTATTTTCTAAAATCTATAAAAAAATTCTGTACCGGCTTGAGCAAATAAGATAAGCCAACATTCAAAATCCTTTTTGGAGACAAAGGTGCCTAAATCTTTCAATCTATTCATGAGGTAAATGTTAAGATTACAAGGTGTTAGTATTGTTATTAGTGTTATGATTGTAATAGGACAAGGAATCCCAATGAATGTATGTTATGATCTGACTCCCTTCAAAATACTTGAGGTCAATGCTTAATTATTGAAACTGTCAATTTACTGCTTACTTTTAAGTATTACCTGGTCCTGAGAGTTTTTTAGTGTTCAATGTCACAATAGCTTTTCCATTTCCAAACCACTCCAAATGCCTTACTTTATAGGCGCCGCCGCTGACCAGCTCCATGAAATTCTTTAAGCTGTCTCGTGATGATTTGTGACGCAGTCCCAAGACATACAACTTGTTCCACTCGTACTTGATATCAGGTTGTGTAAAACCTAAGAAGACTGGATCGTAACGTTGCCGTTGCACTGCTCCGGGCTGGCTGTAAGGCCCTGCGTGATTAAATGATTAAATAAATAAATAAATAAGCAAATAAATAAATAAATAAATATTGCCGGATATGTTTATATAAGACGTTAAACAAGCCTAGCGTAAATACGGGAAATACGGTTGATTGATGCGGTTAACAGAAAAGAAGAACACCATGTGCTCAGTACAGCAAGACACCGTGATCTAGTATTTGGTCAACACGCTGGTTCTGAAATTAACATCGACCTGACTGCGACAAATCCGCCTGAAATACATTTCCGATATAAGAAAAAGAAGTCGCATCCTAGAATTTACTGCCGGCATGTTTCCGAAGTTGTTACGACTTACGATTGTCGCCGGGTAGGTTGGCGGTATATGAAGCCACGGAGGGGCAAAAACATTGCCAAGAGAACTGAAAATGTTTGAAATTTTTCAAATTGTACTGTTAGAGCCCGATAGTTAATTTGAAGAGGGTTTTTTTTCAAGCCAACCTTATCCAATTTTTTTCCAATTGGCTTTTTTTCAAGCCAATCTACGTGAAATTTTATGGTGTATACATTTTAATTTACACACCATGCCATGTTTTGTATCAAAATTCTAAGCCAAAATATACCTAACTTTTATCTATAACTTATTCCAAAGAGCATTTTCTAAAGCAAATTCTTCCAACCCGTTCCTTATTACCGTATTTATTCGATTAAACGCCGCCCTTGAATAAACGCCAATAAACGCAGATGGAAACAAAATTACCAATAAACGCGGCCTCGAATAAACGCCACACCTAATAAGAAGAATGCGGCGTTTACTCGAAAAACCTCGGTACAACTTGGTAATTTACACCATCCAGACATTTACGATTCTATCTCAGCATAATAACATACAATAACTGTTGTCAGTGATCGATTAAATACGGTATGCCCACTAAAGTACAACAGTTTAACAGTGTAAGGAAGTAATCAGAGTGCTTCATCTCTTCAGTCATTCATTTAAAGAAGCCGTTTTTCTTTAGTTGACAACTACGATGTCGATAATTAACTTACCTCCTCTTCCGTGACCACGGCCTGGTGTGTTCGTGCTGATACCACGCCCTCTTCTTCCCCTGGTACCTCTACCACGAATTGGCTGTCGACCATCATCATGCTGATTTTGGTGCGGTACCGACCTGCTTGCCGCCCCTCGAGTAGCATTAGCTATTCTCCTGCCACGATGTGGCCCTCCTATCGGTGGTCTTGTGTGTTGAGCCTTTGTGTGCACTTTGCGCCAGGTTTCTCTTTCACTTCGAAACAAGGGGTCGCTATGGTGATGGTCTGCAGCAGTGGTATCGGTACTTTCATTTTCATTGTCTTGGTCTTTGTTAGTAGAACTCATAGGTTTCTGGTGTTCTTCAGAAGACAAAATTAAAAATTCAGTCAGCTGAATCTGATTAGAATTATATCAAATGCCACTTGATTTGTGCTCAAACCATCAGCCCCTTAGTTACAAGGCGGGTCACTTAAAGCTAGTAATTTTCCTTACCGCTTAATTACAGCTATAAATACGGTAGAACACTTTGGACATAAATTCATCCTGAATTTTAGTATATCGAAAGTGGCCTATTCAGTTAGGTGCCCACGGGACCCTGTCTCTCAACTTTTACATTCCCAGCTTTCTTCGATTTTCTTCCTCCTTTTTCTTGAACATTTGTCTTCCGCTGGTTTTCGCTAACAACAGGAAGATAGCTAAGTGATCAATTAAGTTGCACTCACCTGCCATGGTCAGGGCAAAAAAGGGCGTAAGAATAAGTTCTTTTTCTTGCCAGGCGCTCTATTAACCTGAAAGTGATAAATTAAATTTTCAGTGAAGTTATGACCAGATTAATGAATTTACATTCGGCGGAGCTAAACGTAGTGGCAGTGACAGAGAATGTAAATACTTTCCTATTGGTATGAACGCACGTGAGCCGCTATGGCGTTAATTGACTCTATTGTTATTAGGTATATAAGGTTTTGACAGTTGTAATGTATTCATCTCAGCTCTCAGCTCTCGAACTATCAACTTTTATTTTTATATCTTACTTTATTCCTCTATCGATTGATTTTTTTTACCTTCAACCCCCAGAGGTTGTGCGACCCCATCGGTTGGGGAACGCGTTCCCAATTTTTTCCCATTGGGTTTTTTGGGTTTTCGTATCAGGTGACGCACGTGATTAGTTTAGCCTGAGTGACTTTATTCAGGAATATTTGTATACCTTTCTTTAGTTATGATGTTGAACTTTGTATGTTATTTGGACGGTATTAAACACTCAGGCTCCATAGTTCGTCCGTCTCTTGGTCGTGAATATAAATAGGAAAATCAGTTTGTTATGCCTAAAAGCATTACGTCAGCATCACCACCAGACCTAAAAAGCGTTCATTGAACCGGGGATTCCCCCTCCCAATATTAACTTTCGCTTCCACCTACACTAATATTCTGATAATAATGCAGTTTTTCAATAAATTTTTAAAATTAATTCAGATTTAAAACAAATCAGTCAATCAACTCTTAAATACTCTCAAGACTGTTTCTCAATTCGACTTTCTGACGTTCTTGGATACTAAATGCATACAAACGCCTTAAAATCTCTAACTCTATGAAGCACTCGTGTTAACAGTGGCCCATTCAGTTATATTAAACCGTGGCTGGATATTCTTTTTGAGAGAAACATCACAAGGACATCGATGCATCGATGCCGGCAGGGTTTGCTTAAATCAGCTTAGATCCTTTTATTAACAACATATTTATGTATAACATGACAAGACAACTTAAGCGGTTATCTAGCAAGATAAACAACGATTACGGATACAAACCTCGATCATCGTTGCGTTCAAGTATTGATCTTCTCTTCCGGGTAAACTAAATTGTATTCGGTGTGTCTGTGAGTGTTTTTGTGGGTACAAGTATTTAAACTTACTAAGTTCTTCTGTTAGGAAGATAAGGCCCGAACAAACTATCGAAAAATTTGCTATTTCATTCGTAAAATTAAGAGGTCAAGGTAAGACCACATATTAAAAGCTAAACTTAAACTTGAACTGTAGGGGCGCTTACCGTCTTTTGGCGATATAATTTCCTTTTAAACTTGAGTAATTAAGGTCAACTCTTTTCACTGAGTTAAAATATTTCCTTACAGTCGTATCACAACGCGGCGGTGTGCTGCGTAAATATGTAATACGATAAACATTTCACAGTTAAAGGCATCTTTATGGGGAACTCGAATGAAAGCTTTCCACTTCATTCATATCTTATTTCCGGTTCTATTCCAAGAAATCATTTGAAAGCGAGGCTCGCACGTATGGTGCTAGGTAACCAAGCAAAAAGTGTCACGACAGTAACGCAAGAAACAGGCGAAGGACTCTAGTGCCAATTTTCACACGCAGTAAAAGCCCAAACATCCCAAAAATTGACTGTAATTGTTATGTATGGGATGTTTCGCTTGCATTGAATTTTGTACTGAAAGTAATTATTAGGGAGCTTAACCGGTAACGATGACAGCGACTTCAACGAGAACGGCAAAGGAACAATCGGTTTAGATTGGCAAAACAACAATTTGATGCACGTGCTTCAAAGTTTTTTGTACATTTCTTAGCCGTTGTTGCACGACTACAACAAAAAAATTCCTAATTTCACGTTTTGTCGAGGACGGGAACAAAAGAAATCAACTTTCTTTTCCTTTTCCTGAACTTTAGTACAGTCCCTTAGAATTCAAATCCAAAATAATTTCCAACATCTGACGAATTATACGACATGAAATAAGCGCGACAAGATTTGAGGCAGCGCGAATTCACTTTTTAAGTGACCTTTTTGTAGCTGTCGTCGTCGTTGTTGCCCGGGGGTGGGGTACTTCCTTATAACCGATGGGGATGTGCCGCTTCCACGACTGGGTTGACTACGGTGGGGGCCCATTTTCAATAGAGTTACTGGAATGGGTCGAACATTTTCGGATCTTTTGGGGTAAGACAGTTCTTCATTCTTACGGTTACAGTAAAAACCCGCGAGTAAGAACCTGAAAATTAAGAACCTGTTAGCCTAAAATTTGCCATTTATATCCCCTATAAACAAGAACCTGTTTAGCCTAGAAAAGGAAAAACAGGTTCTTATTTTTTAAAATCATATTATTGAAATGCAGCTGCAAAACTGTGCAAGAATCCTCTTTGGAGAATTAGGAACTTGGCATTGCTGTGCAAATAAGAGTGCTAATTTATTGATGTAATAAAAAAATAAAGTGCAAAAGGTTAATAGCGGAGCTCTCGCGCGCGAAGCGCGCAGCGGAGCACCATGGGTAAAAAAAATGTGGTAAACTACCCATCCGAGAAAATTTGGTAATCACGTGACCGTACACCGACCGCCCGCCCGCCCGACCGTCCGTCCGCACCACAGACATACCAATGTAAGATAATTCAATTAACAGGTATGGCAACCCAAATGCAACTCAAGGTTTTATTTGGAAAGAAATCGCATGGCCGCCCGGACTTTTAGAAAGAAAAAACAACAAAAGTCGTGTCTTTTTCGACGTTATTTTTGATGTTTACACTCACGTGAATAACAGAGAAACTGAGCTAGAGCGAGTGACTGAAAACAAAAGAGAAGAATTTTGTAGGAAGAAAGACATGAAAATTCAAAGCGGCTGTGAGACAATGAGAAATACTAGTGGCCAGCAAGGTGAAAATGAGCGGCGGTGAAAAATAAAAGCGAACATGAACACGGGAGACAAAATATTGGGTAAGCAATTCCTCCATAAAAATAATGTGCAACTAGGTTTTAGTCCTAAAAAAGCGTTGTAGTTGTGCAAAACAACGGCAAAGAAAGAGGAAAAGCGTGCTGCACGTGCAAATTTGTTGTTTTGCTAATTAGAAAAAAAAGTGTGCTGCACGTGCAATTTGTTTTTTTGCTAATTAGATCTATTGATGCCATTTTCATTGGCCTCCCCGTATTATTAACCAGAGCTTCGCTTTTAGCCCTGGCTAAATCTATATATTATAGTTGCATCGCATTTTGAAATTGACCAATAGGCTGATTACCATCTTGTTTTGTAGCTTGTTTTTTTATTTAATTTTTTTTTTACAGAAATAAGAACCGATTTAAGAACCCAAATAGCCTAAAATTGTGTTAACTACCATTTAAATAAGAACCTGTTTAGGCTAACTCCAGAAAATGTAGGTTCTTACTTGCGGGTTGTTACTGTAGCATATTTGTAGTGTACGTGAAAAATAGGTTACTATGGAGTTTCAATTTTAAGACAATTCAGAAAAAAACGTAGTCTTCGCTGCAGTTGTTTTGTATGGTCACGCAACGGTCTGGGAGGTACGTTGCGTGACGAATCTAAGACGGTTGCTCGGGAGACCGGGGATTCGACTATCCGACAACGGGATAGAAGCGAGAACATGGCTAAATAAGTTAATTTTTGTTCTTCCAGTCTTTATCGCTATTATTCCTACCGATTTACTTCATCAAAAGTACGCGAACCCCTCCTCCCCCCTGGCATTGGATTCCTAGTTCAGAAAGAGAAATAAAATTTTCGTCGTCGCTTGTTTACGTCGTCCATAAAATGTAAACTATACAATCAATTACACGTCGTAGCCGTGCAAAACGGCAAAAAAATGTACAAAAAATGTGATGCACGAGCAAAGCTGTTGTCTTGCCTTCAACCTTGTAAACCTAATATTGTTTTCTTGTGTGTGTGTGTTTTTCTTTTTTGTTTGTTGTGTGTATGTTGTTGTCGTTCCGCGTCGGCGGAACATAAGGTCCCTACTAGCAACGTTTCCCTTACTGACCCCCGACTTCGTTTTTTGGGAAGGAATTCCGTGACCACTAGCCTTATTAAAACGTTTTTACGCTCCGTTCACACGGTACAGGACGAATTTTCGACCGGCTGCAAAATTTGGATCAATTTAGGTTTCTGGGAAACTACCCACCTAGACCTCCCCCAATCCAACTTTTTGCCCCAGGTGAGACGCAAATGTTAACTTCGAGTTAGGGGAGGGAGGGGTAGGTGGGCAGTTTCCCAGAAACCTAAATTGATCCAAAAATTTGACCGGACAATTTGTTCACACGGGACCGTTCAATATTTTGGCGTTGTTCACACGTAACTTGGAACGGCTAGGCGTCTTAATTTTCCTACGGTTGAGAGGATTCCGCGTGAACTCAACCCCAAAACGAAAGAATTTTCAACCGGTCGAAAATTCGTCCGGTGCCGTGTGTGTACGTAGCCTCGGATTGCAGCCAACATTGCGGCCAACATCCGTTTAAAAAAATACCAAAGGACGTAACCCTTTAAACCCTCACTTAAAAATTCAAATTCTCATTTGTTGTCTCCATGCATTTCCTGTAGAAGTAGAAGGGAGAAGATGTCAAAGTATCAATAAGATTCACCTTCAGTGATCATGCCCTTAACTCTCATCACCACTGTTTTATAAAGCGTTAATACTACAAGAAGAAATTCCATGCTAATAACTCTTAGGAATGAAAGGGATAATCGACGAAAGTCTTCATAACAAATGAAACATTTATTTAGATATATCACTAATATTGAAGGCCAAATAATTATCAAGTTATCACAAGGCACATTTTGCACGTTATTATTACAATTAGGCCCCCCTCCACATGTATCCGGGTATTTTTGAACCCTCAACTTTTCTCTTTCCGGATTAAAACATTTCTGTGTCCACACGTATCCGTATTCAAATCGTATTTGTCCGTCCACACGTATCTGACGAGTATCCGGATTCACTCTAGTACCCAGGACTCCTTTGGGAATATTGGCAACAGAACATGCGTCGAGGTTGCCATCTAGAATACAGTATTCGCAGTAAACAGCTGGGCTCGATCTTGTTAAAGGTCAAATGAAGCAAAAATTCGACATTTTTTATTTTAGCTCAATTTTAGTGAAATATGTTTAATATGAAACGAATAAACATACTACGAAGTTTCAGCTCAATTGAAGCAAGCATCTCCGAGATATTCGCAATTAAAAATTGTTATTTTTTGGCCCTTATCTTCGTAGAGCGGTCGGAAAAATTGTCGGTAAAAACAGCTTGTGACGTCAATGTTGGTCAGGTGAAAAAAAGCGGGAAATTCAAAACAGTGTTTTTTTGCATTCGACTTGGCGCAGAAATTGTGGTGGTTTGTGCGACCATAAACCTAGAAAGAACAAGCAATTTGTCTTCAAAAGTTGCAAGCTGTGGTTATAACCTTATTATTTAATTTTCTCGAAGAATACATCATAGTAAAACGGACTTTAACGACGGCATTAATTTCCTTGCGCTGTACTGGAAATGTGCGTGCGTAGGTCCAATTTTTTTCAAGATGTATTCATAGTGATTTGCCCAAAGAAATTCACGCTTGCCCACAATAGGGCCATTTATACGAGGAAAAATAAGACGCGTCTTACATAAGACGCGTCTTAAATAAGACGCGAACTGTACCATTTATACGAGCAGGTCTTATCTAATAAGACGCGTCTTAGCTAAGCCGCGTCTTATTTTAGACGAAATGTGCCGTTTATACAGAAAGTTCGCGACTTATTTAAGAGGCGTCTTATGTAAGACGCGTCTTATTTTTCCTCGTATAAATGGCCCTAATGTGTTTGAAGTCATTGAACTTTGTCGCACTCGAGCTGATACTTTAAAACCCATGCTCGATCGGACACTTGTCCTTCGCAGAACACTAAAATATAAACAAAATCCTCAATGTAGAAGTTTTGGCGTTGATATGTGGGCAGAAAAAGAGTTAATCTTTATCTACTAAAATCTTCCCCAAAATCGGTTTCAAAGCAACTACAGTTTTTTAAACTTGATCGTTTCGCGCAGATAAAGTTTGCTTTGTGTTGTCAAGTTGAACATGCATAACACTTCTCAAAAAGCGGGTAAGATTTCGTTCAAACAAAGTTGAAGTTACATTATTGCAAAAACTTCTCTCCAGTTATGTATATGATTGAATTACCGACTGAGGTCACTTTAAGGACCATAGACGCCACTTTAAGCTCGCAAAGAAAGGCGACAAGCAAAGAACTTACAATTCCGTCATGCATAAAATTCAGCTTAAGTGAACTAAAAAAAGCTTAAATAACGTTGCAAAACAACAAATTTCCACTCAAAAAACATAAGGCTTAAGGCTCTTATACCTGCTGACAATGAAGAAGTGAATTTTCTGTGCGAAATAAATTACCTAAAGAAAAGCAAAAGATCAGTTGCAAGCTTCGCACCCAAGCCATAATTCACCATTTAGCTATTTTTAAAAAGTGGT